ATGCCTGTCCACCACTTGAAAGGCCAGTAGAGGGTCCCCTGGAACTAAAGTTACAAGGTGGTTGTGAGCTGATATGTGGGTGCTGGGAACTGAATCCATGTCCTCTGGAAGAGCAGCCAGTGCTCTTAACCACTGAGTCATCTCTCCAGCCCAACCTTGAATTTTTAATCCTACTGCCTCAGATCCCCCGTCCCCCGATGCTGAGATCACACACACACACACACACACACACACACACACACACACACACACACACACACACAGAAAAATAGGAAGGTAGTGTCTGACATGCTTGAATATGTTTTGCTGCAATTTAGGTAAGCGCAAGTGTGGTGAGCAGTTGCAGTTACTTTAAGGAGGAGAAATACATGTTCCCAGAGAATTACTATATGTCTAGCAAGAGCGTGGACTTCAAGCAAGCTGGGCTCTAGCCCAACTGGCTTGCCTTGCAGTAGGGATGTCCGACTGGCATGGACTTAAACTTTCCTCATCTATTGCACATTAGCGTCCTCTTACAGCAGTTACCCATTACAGCAACATAGCTAGCTAAGGAAGGAAGCTCGGGACCACGCCACTCTAACTTTCTAGTCTCCCAGGTTGTCTAACCCTCAGTGCACAGATCTCAGCCCTTCTGTGACTAAGTCAAATGATAATGACAGCGCCCATTTGCTTTCTCCACCCACATCACCTCCAGAAAATCAGCTCTCAAGTTCCAAACTAACTGTGGTGGGGACTTTTGTGGTAATCTCCTTTTGCCTTAAAATCTGGTTACCATAGTTACCAATCATCTTTGCTGGCACACAGTGCACAATGCTATTTTAAAAAGTAGCTACGTTTTTACAAATTTATTTTTATAAAGGTAATACATAATTACGAATACCTGAAAACTCCATACAAATCTGGAAAGTGTAACAGGCAGCTTGCTCCCAAGCCTGCTGTTAAAAAGAGATCCTGAGCAATGCTAATATATTTTCTTTTTAAGCAGGTACATCTAAATACTCATGCTTTTTAACTAAAAATCATATTGCAAGATACATACTACATAGAAATCCCCCAACCCAATAATTCAGCTGGGACATTTTTCTGTGGTTATGTTTCTGTCATTCCTTTCCATGTAAACTGATTTACTGAGCAAGCACATAAACACAGGCCATTATTGAGGAGGGCATAAAACCACCACAAGAAGCTGTTCAGTTCCCAATGGAGTGATTTTCTTAACATCTATGTTTATGACATGTGAGACGCAGGCCTATATTAATGTTGAGGTGGTTGTGGGTATAGCAGCGCACCCTCTCAATCCTAGTATTCAAGAGGCAGACAGATCTCTCAATTTAAGGCCAGCCTGGGCTACATAGAGAAGTCCTGTCTCTAAAAAGAAATGTTGAGGTTGGATAAGAAATGATTTCTCATTACTGTGGCAGGATATAGAAGCATAGCAGTTAACCACCACACTCTTCAAATTTTGTTTTCTGAGTAAAGGATTTAAAAGTCATTTTCTGGTTCTGCTCTTGGTGATACACTAGTGCCAATATCATCAGTTGTAGTACTGTCCCTTCAGCAGAAACGGATCTACTGTACCCATAAATGTAAATCAGCTAGTTGATGAGGCAGCACCCCGGGGTGAGGCTGCCCTCTGCTCTGCTAGCATGCCCAGCTGCCCACCCTCCTGGGACCTTTGAAGAACACAACCGCCCCCACAAGGTGAAATCATGCCATAGAAGCAGAGTCTTCGATAGCACCCTCTCCCCTGGATGGTAAGTTCAGGGTTAACTGTGCCCAGTACCTTCTGCGTCCTCCGGGCCCCGCTCCACTCCATCCTTTAGGCTCTGCTCGCTGAGGTCTGTCACAATGCCACCACCTTGCTTCTTCCCTTCCTCATCGCCTGATTCTTCAGACTCAACCCGCCTGTCAACTGAACCCATACACAGCAGTGAGAGCTCACCTCCACTTCATTGATAATTTGAGGACACAGAACAGATTAACCCAAGTTGTAAGTCAGCAAGACTTCTTAATAGTAATGCAGTTGATACGAACATCTGAATGTCTTATAGTCCAGGCACTATTTAAGACATAGAGACAGGAACCAGGAGGCCACATGGGCATAATTAACACACTGTCCTTCCCCCCAAGAGCGGTAAAGAACTGCCAAGTGTTCTAAAAGCCCCTGGAGCATCTGTGATAGGAACACTAATGGCACCACATAGTGAAGTGCCTTCCAGGTGGCTCTCACATCTGACCTCATGTCCACCACAAGCGGGACCACTGTGAACCTTCTGTCACTATACCCTCATTGATGTCCCACTATCCATTTGGCCAAAACAAAAACAAAACAACAAAAAAATGGTTCAACTTACAGGTCTACATTCTGAAAGAAATCAAGACTAGCTAAAGTCAGACTGTGGGTAGAGAGGAGCTCCAATGAAAATGAGAATGCATCAAAAGTGCCAACTGCCCTAGGTAAACTCCTGATGTTAAAAGATCACAGGACACAGTGTTATCAATGCAAAGCTTTTTGGGGTAAATAAACAGGTTTTGAGTTATGAAGAAAGCAACAGTGAAACGTGGCTTTGGCAAATGATCTTCCTAAGCCTCAATATTCATATCTGCAGAAGAGTTAGTGGAGTGCCTCCCCACCGTCAGGACTAACTGAGAAAGGACACAAGAGCGGCTTGTGTGTATGACATGTAGAATGTATGCGTTCCCAAGAGACACAGGACCAGCTGTGATCCAGAATAAGGAAAACTAGGTTCAGTGTTTTGGTCTCTGCATGGCCCCCAGGAGGAGCCAGGGGACAGAAGGGACAGTTGGTGCAATCTGTGTATATATCTTCAGGGCAGCAGGAAGGTTCTAGAGCCTGGGACAGTGTGTAAGAAGGTGACTGTGTGGCCCTGCGTATGATAGCTAGTAAAAAGGTAATAAAATCTATCAAACGGAGGAAGGTTTGAGTTAAGGTATTGTCTGTGATAGAGGTGACAAACATGGAGCTGAGCATGGTGGCTCGCTCCTTTACTTCTGGCACTCTGGCAGACTGATGTAGGTGGATCTCTATGAGTTCTAGGTCAGCCTGGTCTATAGCAAGCTCCAGGCCAGTCATAGCTACGTAGCGAGACCCTATCTTACACCCAAAAATCCAAAGCCAAACCAAAAAAGTCTAAAACCCACAAAGCACATCCCAAAAGACATGGGGCTATGGGAACTAAGAGTCAGCTGGCAACGGTGTGTGGGAGCGGAAGAGAGAAAAGCCTGGCTTTTGTATTTGCCCTTTACTGAGAAACAGAAGAAGGGGAGGGGAGCACTGGGGGAGGGAAGCAAGAAGCGTTTCCTTGCTCAGAAAAGATTCAAAGGTAAAATAAAATGCGACTCCCTTTAAGACTCTCCGGGACCTTTTCTAGGAAGCCTGGCTGCCTCTTCCCACCCCCCACTCATATGACTGTTAATTTAGGTCAGACTCTTTTCCATACGCCTTAGCTTCTGACTGGGCTTCCTTTCTCTGGAATGGCATTGGTCCTCCCCACCTGTTCCCAGTCTGGATGACGTCTAGTGATCCCTCAAGGCCCAACTCAGGGCAGCATCCCCACTCCCAAACACACTGGACCTTTCTTCCACACCCGTGTCCCTTGCTCTGCAACCCTCCCCACCAGCTTTCCTCTCAGAAAAGTGACTGCGGGACTGCTCTTCCAGAGTTAACACTCACCAAAATAGAGGAGTCTTTAAAAGACACTTAAGGGTTCAGGTTTGCCTGATGCTGCAATGGTATAGGAGTGCGTCCATACACAATATACGCACATACATGCATATATATGCACACACACCTATATATGCACGTATACACACGATTATGTATCTACACAACTGTGCACAAAAACACGCACATGTGTTATACATATGCACTTATATATGCATATGTTGACACAATTCAACAGAGAAAATAGGAAGAAAGTTGAATTCAGTCCTTTCCAGACTCCGAACGTGTAGAAAACAAGACACCGCCTGGTAAACTCAGACTCCGGACCTCCTTGTTACCCATCGCTCCGCCACAACCCATTCGCGTCCAGTGCAGACTCTTTCCACCCACGCCGCGAGAACAAACTACGGACTAGGCAGGTCCACACGCCTGAAACCTCAGTTTCCCAAATGAGCCGACAGAGGACAGTCCCCCCTGCCTCTTCGCCTGTCAACCTCGGAGCTTTGAGATTAGGCTCCCACAGCCGCGGCTTCTTCGTCCGTCTCCCTTTCCTGGACGAGCTCGCGCCACGTTGTTCCCGGGGCTCTGGTCCTTCCTGGCCGCAGCCGCCCTCGGGCCGTGGCTGCCGGGCTCCGAGCCTCCCCCCGCCCCGTCCAGCCCAGTTGGCAGCTGTCAGAGATCCGTGGCTGTGGCCAGAGGCTGGAGGCCGAGCTCCGATCCGGCAAGAGGCCGTGCCCGCCCAGCCCCCAGCTCGCCGCCTCCCGGTCGCCCGCAGGGGCCGCTCACCCTCCATCATCTCCTGCGACTGTTGCTGCCCCGCGCCGCGCTCCGCCGCCATATTGGCTGCTCTTCCCCTTTCCGGAATCTGTCGCCTCAGGCCAAGGGCCAATCAGGACTCCCCGGCCCAGTGAGCCAGCCACTAGAAGCGAGCATAGCAGCGCGAGCTGACACGCTTGCGTGGACGCAGTGCTTCATGGGAGTTGTAGTTCTCGCAGGCCCCGGCTCCACCTGAGCTAGGTGATTGAGGCGTGAGTGGGGTCTAGGCGAGCGGGGCGACAGCTGACTCTCCGGCAAAGCATCAGGCAGCATGGCAGACAGCTCAAGCTTGCGGGTTCGCCCATGTTACCGTGCAGACTTCGGAGGTGCGGAGGTCTACAGGTCACAGGTGAGGCAGGTTAGACTTGTATCCCGGACCTCGGGAGCCTCGCTGATGTGTGTCAGCACGATGGGCCGGAGGGCTAGGGTGACCGCTTTGTTCCGCGCCTGCGCGTTGATTTACTGGCGCCACGGGCCGCTTTTCGCGGATGCTCGGGAGCAGGAGGGAGGGAGGGGCCGCGGTCCGGCTCGGGAGCGCACGTTCGCCGCCTCCAGCCCACGATGAACCACCGTGTCGTCCGCTTCCGCTCCCCCTCCCCCAAAGAATGTGGCCGTCGAAAGGCGGGCTGCGCGTCGCTCACCGTGCCCGGTCCGCCGTGGGCATGAACCGCGGCAGCTCCTCGGCGTGGGACAGAGAAATCGGTCTCTTTTGGCTCCTCGGAGGCGCGGTAGGGGGAGCGTCCGGCGAGTCCCTAGCAACCGTTGCGCGCGCTCCGCAGCTTGCATTCACTGAGGCCCGCCCACAGGGTGTCTGGTTGGTTCTTGTCGCCTGTCACTCTGCGCAAGGCGTTCCGCGATTGGTCGGTGGGCTGGAAGCGCGCGGGATCTTTACGTTGTGAATCCTTCGGGGGACGATCGCCGGGCTCAGGTGAGACACCGGTGTTTCAAAGAGCTTTTGCGGGTGGCGGCGAGGCGCGGTCCCACGCTGTTGTGGAGCGGTTCTGGCCCTTACCTCGCGTGCCGCACCCCCTCCGCCCGGCCCCGGCCCGGGGTGGTGGCGGGTTCCGGCCGTTTGACCCGCGCTCAGGAGCCGCCAGCTCCGGAATGCCCCCGACGGAACTGCAAGCTTTCCTTTCAGGTTAGGCTAGCGGGCCAGTGAACGCTGGGGATTCACTTATCTTCACCCCCTAATCCTGGGATTGCAGGTACGTGCATCCATGCCCTGCTTTTTATGTGATTAAAGATTAAAACTCAGGTCCTCATGTTTGCATAGCAAGAACTTTTAACACAAGGACCATCTCCCCAGTTTCTGTATTACTTTTAAAATAAAAAATTTGTAGCATTGACAGTTTAGCTTGAGGAATGATATTTTTTCTATAAATTAAGATTTCATAACAATGTATTCTGAAGTGATATAACTTCGAAAAAACAAAGGAAGGTTTGGTGACACTGGCAGTGTGTTAGGGAGTCATATTTAAATGCCCTGAGTTTTGTTTATAGGTTGATTCTAAAAGCAGAAGACAACAGTGTGATCGCACCATTGTTTGCTATAGCAGTAATTAGTGCATTTAGATACCTAGAGAAGATGTGCATCTTTGACATTAAAACTCTGTTACTTGGAGGAAAGTCATACATTCTAAAATTTCTATCATACATATCTTTGTTTGAGACAAGGTAGTGTCATATAATATAACTTTAAATGCTCTATGTAGCTACTTTTTTGGTTTTTTGAGACAGGGTTTCACTGTGTAGCCCTGGCTATCCTGGAACTCAATTTGTAGACCAGGCTGGCCTCTAACTCACAGATCTACTTTCTGTGCCTCCTGAGTGCTGGGACAAAAGGCATGCGTCACCACTTTTGTTTCATATTGAGCTGTTGCTTTTTAGAATTGCACCCTGAGTGTATGTGCCTGTGTATGTAACATGTAAACTAATGAAGTAAATAGTCGTGCATTATCAGTCAGTGGTAGAGGGTTTGCCCAATGTGTGTAGCTCTGGGTTTAATACTCACCTCCATTCAAAAATAGCAGTTGTCAGGCTGATGGTGCTTCCTGTCTTCACAGCACTTCCAGCACTTCTGGAGACCCGGCTTCTGGAGCCCTTGCCTCAAAAACCAAAAGTAAACAAAGCTCTACAGTTTGGGCTCAGCAATATGGCTCAGGGGGTAAAGGCACTTGCTGCCAAAGGCTGACAGTTTGGGTTTGATACCTGGGACCCACATGGTAGAAAGACAGAACTGACTCCTGAAAGCTGTTTTCTCTGCTCCACACATGGGCTGGCTCTCTCTCTCTCTCTCTCTCTCTCTCTCTCTCTCTCTCTCTCTCTCTCTCTCTCTCTGTCTCTGTCTCTCTCTCTGTCTGTCTGTCTGTCTGTCTCTCTCTCTCTCTCTCTCTCTCTCTCTCTCTCTCTCACACACACACACACACACACACACACACACACACACACACACACACGGAAGTATTAAAGGAAATGAAAACAAACACATTTAAACCCACCACCCAGTTTAGGAAGTAGAAGGCTGTCCCATTTTGCCTTTTAATTTTAGTTCTCTGATTCAAGGGAACCATCTTTCTGAAGTATGGGTTTTCAGTCTTGTTGAAGAGTTATTCTATATGTGTATATTTTTAAGAAGTGTATTTAGGTTTTTTAATATTAAAAGAAAGGAACCGTGTTATATATAACCTTTTGTAATGGGAAGGTTCTCACGTCTTATACTGCTAAGAGTCATTCTTTGTTTTATTTTTTTAAGACAGGGTTTCTCTGTGTAACAGTCCTAGCTGTTCTAGAACTCACTTTGTAAACTAGGCTGGCCTCGAGCTCACCTACCTCTACCTCTTGAGTGCTGGGATACCAGAGCTTTCTTCTTCATGAGTATTTAAGTCGTTTTCTTTTGGCCTGTTCTTTCTCTCTTTCCCTCCTTCCCTTCTCTCCTTCTTGCCTAGGTACCTGCCTTTCCTCCTGACTGGTTTACCAGCCCTTACCTTTGTCAAACCATGCTGGCCTGAATAGTCCTTGTCTGTCTTGCTACTTATGTGCATAGATTTCTCTAAATTGGTCCCTGCAATGTAGCCTCATGGATTTCCCATGCATGTCAGGCTTATATTTCTTGGTCTGCTGAAACTGACCTTGTCCTATTGTCCGTTTATTTACTTTGTGTAGCTTCATGGAATGCAGCAATGTCTGCACTTTGTTGTTCTGTATAAGGGGCCCTGCCCTGCTGTGCTCTGGGGCTAAGGCCCATAGACTCATGAGTGTATCAGACACTCCACTGTGATCAACTTTGAGCAGGTTGAAGTGAAGCTCACAATCTGTTAATTACAACAGGTACTCCTCTCCCTTTCTGCGTTGTTAAAGAAATGCTGTGCGTACTCCTGATCCTCTTGCCTGCATCTCTCAAGCGTTGGGATTACAGAGGTGATCACAGCACCTTACTTAGCTTAAAAACACTTTGTGATCACCTTCAAAGCCAGTATATGATTGGAGGGCTGGGCTCCCAGAAGCTCCTTACTAGATTCTCTTGGTTTGTAAGAGTAGGTACCTGTCCCTTCCTAGACATCACATGGCCTGGAGGCCCTGTTTATCCCAGCTTGCTCTTCCTTGTGAGGCAGTCTCTCAGGTCTAAGTGTGCTAGTATAGGAATCCTGCATAGGAAAAGGCTGATGTGGACCTCAGAGGTGTGTGCCAGACTGTTTGTTGATGAACTGTGAGGATTTGGAAGGTAGCATAAAAGGGGCTCGTGCTTAAGGTGGGCATATCTTGACCTTGTGGTCTCCCTACATTATGGGAGAATCCAACCGGTGGTCCTGATGCTAGCCCCACAGTGTATTCTTGTCTCTATCAATCACTGGATTACTAGGTCGGCCTTGTCCACTCCTAGCAAGGAATACTTTCTTCTTAGTGGCCGACTGTGGAGTGGCCTTAAACATGGGGAACTGTTAAATAAGTGTATACTTATGGTTGACATGCTTGCCAGCAAGATGCATGTGGACACTCAGTGTGTCTACCGTGGGAAGTCATGAGACAAGACTGCTGTAACTCAGCATTCACACTGGAGGGTGGGTTAACACCTGTGATCGTAAGGTTCCTTTCCTAGTGTGACACTGGTGTAGCTCTGAAATGTGTTGTCACTCCAAAACTCAGTGAGGGCAATGGGATTTTTCTGTATTTTTTCCTAGTATCTGTATTTGCGTCTGCGTTGGTATCAGAGTACAGACTTTGAGAATACATCTGATTGGTCCTGTCTCTAGATTCCGTCTTCTTGTTGCATGCTTCAAGGTGCCCTGTGCGTGGCTGGCTCTTCTGGCACCCAGAAAGACTACATCTGGGGACACTTCCTCACATGTGGACCTGCATTTCCTGCCTTGTCTTGTGGGCCCCTCCCTCTGCTATCCTTGTTTCTTTTCCACTCCCCTTCTTGTTTTCCATGCCTTTCTGGGGATTTCTCTGGAAAAGGCTCTCATAGCACAGATTTGGGTTGATTATCCCCACTCCGTAGGTCCTGACCTGGGATCCTGGGATGTAGGCTGGTTTGACTGCTTCTGTATTCTGTACTGCAGACCTTAATCATCATCCTTTGTTTTCCAGGTGAGGGCTGTTGGAGGCGGGAGCTTGGTGACCAGTTGGCCTGCTCTCCATGGAGGACAGAGGTCCACCTGTCTTTGCTGAAGACTGCAGATTCTTGTCTGGGAGTCCTCCTGCCCAGGAAGGTCCCGCTACCCATACCCCCTCTGAGCTCTGCAAGCCACTCTCCATAGCTCATAGACACCTGAGCAGGAAGAATGGGCTTTCCAGACTCTGCCAGAGCCGGATGGCACTCTCTGGTAATCACCTGGGATGTTATGGGCATCAACCTTATAAACTGAAAACACGGAGTTGCAGTTTCCTCCCCGGGAGCTATTTTGTCAGGGATGGAAGGATGGTTTATGTTTTCTTGCCAGGAAGAGATGTCTTCCAAGGTACTGGTCCTGGCCATAGCCAGGAGGAAAGAGCTAACCTGTCTGGTGCTGTGTGACAGAGTGGTGGGGTGGGGGTGGGGAGAGTTGAGGGACAGCAAGGTGTGTACTTGAAACTGAGGGCATTTATAAAGCAGGGAAGTCCTTTAGGATGGAGACGTCCAGGAGCCAGAACAGAGCACAGTAAGGTTAGGATTCTGCCCTGAGGTCACAGAGCAGCGTGCTGGGACATCAGATGCATGTGGTCTTGGGACCGTGGGAGCAGTGGGTTCTGGGAGGGGCCGGTGGTGCTGCTGAAGCAAGGCAGAGGCCTCAGCTTTCCAGGAGACTGCTTTGCTTGGCACTGGCCAGGGTCTTTGCTTCAGTGTTGGCATGGTAGACGGGATTCAGGAGGGTACCTTAGGCAGCTGCTCAGGGAACAGGGGCAACAGGTAGAGGTGTGAGTAGGGCACTGGCTTGGTCACTGCTGGGGCAAGTGGGTGGCCTCAGGGAAGGCTAGACAGAGGCCATGTCCTGAGAAAGTCTGGATTCTGGATGAAGGACACCGAGGAAAAGGACGGGGCAGGAGAGTGGTGGAGACGCAGGTTATGTGTGTTTGGTTTTAAACTTAGGAAGGACAGACTGGGAGGCATGGGAACTTGGGTCTTGCAGAGATTGGAGCTAGAGGCAGTTACGGGGTCCAAACACACTGGTCTTTCCATGATAGTAAAGCTACCAGGATGGATTATTGGGTGGAGGGAGGAGGGAGGCACTCAGGTGCTTGGATAGTGGTCTGGCTGAAGAGCTCAGCGTTTCCGGTAGGTGGGGTGGGGTAAGGACTGGGGGCTCACTGATGGGCTGAGCATTTTGGAACCGTTGGAGAGGTGGCTTAGAGCAGCTCCTTCAGAGTGGTGGGGACAGAGCCCATGGGAGGAAGCAGGTAGAGGCGTGGGCAAAGGAAGCTTTTTAATTGTCTGACAGTTCCCAGGAACAAGTGACCAGGCAGTGGCTAGAGGTGACTGGTATTTGAGAGGAGACATTGTAAGCAAGAGCTTTCTGGGTGTGAAGGGCAAGGCTTTAGAGTGTCACCTAGACAGAAATGTTCTTGAGCTGTGTGTACTCAGAGACTATTGATCCGTGCCACTGAGCCCCAGAGGGTTATTTTGGAGAGACTCATTCAGTCACTCATTGGCTCTGTGGCTTAGACAAGTGCTTGAGCCCTGTGCAGGCCACATGCTTTGCCTGTCTTAGAGGCCTGCTTTGGTAGCTGTTTGAGGTCTTTACCTTTCTGTCCTTCCTTTCCTCACAGAGGACAGGTGGAGCTCTTACTGCCTCTCATCTCTGGCTGCGCAGAACATTTGCACGAGCAAACTGCACTGCGCTACTGCGCCTGAGCATGCCGACCCTGCAGCGGGGCTACTGGGCAGCCCCTCCTGCTGTTCCTTGCTTCGTGGCCTGGCTTCAGGGTGCTCTGCACCCCTGCTCTCAACTCCTGTGTGCAACCCCAACAAGGCTGTCTTCACCGTGGATGCCAAGACCACAGAGGTATTTGCTGCAGTTGAGACCTAGCATAGATGTGGATTTGGAGTTGTCAGACTTGATCCTTTCAACAGAGATATGTGTGTTTTAAATGTAATAAGAAAAATAGCCAGGCGGTGGTGGTGCACGCCTTTAATCCCAGCACTTGGGAGGCAGAGGCAGGCGGATCTCTGTGAGTTTGAGGCCGGGCTGGACTGACAGCCTCCAAAACAATACAGAGAAACCCTGTCTCGTAAAAACCAAAAAAAAAAAGAAAAAAAGAAAAGAAAAGAAAAATAGATAGTCTTGTCTATATGAGACAGGAATTTTGCTTTTTTGGACAAAGGTTCTAGGGAAAGGATGAGGTGCATTCCCTGTTACACATTTAGCTTGTTAGCTTAGTTATGTAAATGAAACCCAGTGCTGAATGAAATGTGTTTATACTGTGTACATTCATCCCTGTGGGAGCTGACCTGTTAGACAGGAGTGGAGTGTGATACAAAGTTCCACGTTTTCATAGTAGCCTTTTAAGTTAATTGATCATATTACATTTGCGTGTGTGAGTGTGTGGCGTTGGCATATGTGTGCCACCGTGTGAATGGAGGTTAGAGGACAATGTGTGGGAGTCAGTTTTCTCCTACCATGTGGGTCCCAGGGATTGAACTCAAGTTGTTAGGCTTGGCTGTGAGCACCTCTGTGTGCTGAGCCTTCTCTCTGGCCCTCTTCCTAGTCTCCTAGTGTTGCTTGGCGCATGCTTGTTTTGGCTAGTGGAGGGTCCTGGGTATAGTTGGCCCTGATTGGATGTATCTGTGAGGTAAAGCTGCCTGAAGTGCAGAGTGACCACTACTGAGCCCCTGACGGGAGATGCTAGAGGCTGTGCTGGCAAAGGGCAGGCCTTGGGCCCCTTGTTGCCTCCTGTGTTGTTTTCTCCTCTGTTGTTCCAAGGGCCCCAGGAACTGATGGTGGTCTGTGTGTTCTCTGCAGATTCTGGTTGCCAATGACAAAGCCTGCAGCCTCCTAGGGTACAGCAGTCATGACCTGATTGGCCAGAGGCTTGCCCAGTTCTTCCTCAAGTCTGATTCCGAGGTGGTGGAAGCCCTCAGCGAGGAGCATGTGGAAGCTGACGGCCATGCTGCAGTGGTGTTTGGCACGGTGGTGAGTGAATGGGTGATGCTTTGCCTATCTTTAAGGCAAGAGTAGCATGTAACGGGAAGGGCTCCGTTTCGCTGCCTCACTTCTGACTTTGAGCTTTGTTATGCTATGTGGCTGGCAGCACTTGCAAGTTTAGCATCTTCACGGAAACATGGTCCTGGTACTGTTTCCTGACTCCAGATGTGAAGAGGGATGGGCCCTTTAAAGCCAGTGTCTTCTCAGGTGGATGTAGTGGGTGGCACTTTGTTGTCACGTTTTGGTGAGGGCTGAGGCTTGGACTACATTTTAAAAACTGCAGGTACCACATGAGAGTTCCTGACAGGTGATATAATTCCCCCGTGTTTCATGTATGTGTGCATGCGTGTGGCTGCCCGAGGTTGATGTCAGACATCATCTTCTATCACTTCCTCCTTATTCATTTAGGCGGGGACTCTCGATCAAACCCAGAGCTCTCCAATGTGGCTAGTCTTGCTAGCTGGCTTGCTCCGGGTATCCAGACTCTGTCACTGGACTAACATGTGGGCCTCCACTCTCACTCAACATTTAAGTGGGTTTCTGGGGATCCTGACTCAGGTTCTCATGCTTGTATGGCAAATATTTTAACTGCCGAGCCCTCTGAAATAATACAACTGTATCATTACACCTGATTCTTACCTTCAGAACTACATATTTAATTTATTTGTTGTGTGTTTTGTGGTGGGATGGGAGTGTTTTCCTGGAGACTTTTGATCCTCCTACGCTGCTGGGTGTTTCTGGGACATTGACAGATGAGTTGAATTATTGGATGCTGAGGGCTAAGCTCTAGGCACAAGAACTTGGACAGTGTCAGTTGCATCAATTACTGGGTCAAGAAGCTACTACTAGGAAAATAATTACAGCATTCAGCACATGTTAATGCCTTTTTATCTTTATTTCTGTGCATGTTTGCATGTATGTACACATATGAATGGGAGCCCAAGGAGGCTAGAGGTGGTTGTAACAGCTACTGGGGTTGGAGTTGGAGGCAATTGTGAGTTGCCCAATGTAGCACTGAACTTGAATCTCCCTGGAAGAGCAGCAAGTACTCTTTTTTATTTTTTTGGTTTTTCAAGACCAGGCTGGCCTCGAACTCACAGAGATCCACCTGCCTCTGCCTCCTGAGTGCTGGGTGGTCACCTGGCGAGCAGCAAGTACTCTTAACCACTGAGCCATCTGTCTAGCCCTTAGTGCTTATTTCTTTGAGAAATTACAGATACTTCATTTTTTTCTCCTGTTATCTTATCGTGAAGCTAAATATATTTGGTCAGATTTTCAGAAGCTCAGGACCAACTTTGTATCTGGATAAAGGGATTTATTAGGTCAGTTCACATGGTTGGAAGCTGGAGAGTTCTACAATTATCCAGTGAAACCAGTAACCACTCAGTTTAGGAATCTAAAAGCCTTAGAATGATAGGGACTGATGATGCAGCCTCAGTCTGGAGGATGAAGCTTCCTGGAAAGTTACTGATGTGTGAATTCAAGGCTGAAGACTGGAGTTCAGTGTCTGTGGGTGATAACCATAGCAAAAAGCATCCACTCATATCAGAAATTGATAATTGATACCTGTAACCCCCAACATAGGAGATCAGGAGTTGAAGGCCAGCTTGGGCTACATGGGGGGCTTGAGATCAGGCTGGCCCACATGAGAGCCTGTCTTTAAACAAGTAACAACAAAACCTATTAACACCAATAGCAAAAGGGTAGTTGAGATTACGTGTGAGCTCTCCTTTTTTTTGGGGGGGGGTTCGAGACAGAGTGTAGCTTTGGAGTCTATCCTGGCCCTCGTTCTGTAGACCAGGCTGGCCTCGAACTCACAGAGATCCGCCTGCCTTATTTGCACTTGGGTAGGTTCCTGAAAGGTGGGCAGAGCTTGGCTGCACTGAAGCATTGGAGCACCCGGGAGCCCTTTCCTGATGAGAAACACTTTGCCTTGCTAGTGGCAGAATTCACACTGCAGTTGCTGTGCACCTTGGTACAAGAAATGTGTGTCCACAGGTGGACATTGTCAGCCGAAGTGGGGAGAAGATTCCGGTCTCTGTGTGGATAAAGAGGCTGCAGCAAGAACGTGGCTTGTGCTGTGTCGTGGTTCTGGAGCCTGTGGAGAGGGTCTCAGCCTGGGTTACCTTCCAGAGTGATGTGAGTGTATTTCCCGAATCTCAGTTATCTCCTGCTAACACAATGCTCTCTTCCCCTTTCAGAACTTAAGGAAGTGCCAGAGCTAACTGGGGTTTGCCTTGGCTCCGGCACTTACTAACTGCATGCTTGGGCAAGAAGTCTAGTCATTGATGCCTTAAGTTTCCTTTTCTATAAAACGGGAATAGAATCACAACTACTCAAGATTGTTCTTATGCTTAAAGATGTTAGTCTTTCAGAATAGTGCTTAAACATGAACTGGATGTTGTTGCTGAAGAGTGGTATGGACCAGGGCTTTTTTCTTTTCTTTGTTTTTTTTTGGGGGGGGGAGGGTTTCGAGACAGGGTTTCTCTGTGGCTTTGGAGGCTGTCCTGGAAGTAGCTCTTGTAGACCAGGCTGGTCTCAAACTTAAAGAGATCCGCCTGCCCCTGCCTCTGCCTCCCGAGTACTGGGATTAAAGGAGTGCGCCACCAATGCCTGGCTTTTTTTTTTTCCCCTGAGACAGGGTTTCTCTGTATTGTTTTGGAGGCTGTCCTGGAACTCACTCTGTAGACCAGGCTGGTCTCAAACTCACAGAGATTCACCTGCCTCTGCCTCACGAGTGCTGGGATTAAAGGCGTGCGCCACCACCGCCGGCTTCTTTTGGTTTTTTTGAGACAGGGTTTTTCTGTGTAGCCTTAGCTGTCCTGGAACTTGCTCTGTAGACCAGGCTGGCCTTGAACTCACAGAAATCCATCTGCCTCTGCCTCTTGAGTCCTGGGATTAAAGAGGTGTACCAATGCCACCCATTGAACCAGGACTTTTGGAGAGTACTCAAGAAAGTCACTTGGGTACATTGAGGAAACGGTATTGTTCTTGTGAAAGCCCATGGCATGGCTCTTGTGCCTTGGATATAGAAGTTGTGGCATTGTTCTTGCATCTGGTTTATAAACACTAGAGCATAAACTTCAGTGAGATTTAAAGACAAGTGTGAGAAACTGCTGTCAGGAGCATTGCTTCTTTCCCCCCAGGGAACCATCACATCATGTGACAGTCTCTTTGCTCATCTCCATGGGTTCACATCTCCAAAGGATGTAGTTGGGCAGTATGTCACAGACTTGATTCCATCTATGCAGCTCCCTCCTCCTGGCCAGCATGTCCCAAAGGTAGGTGCCTGAACCATCTGCACTGGCTGCTGGGTCTTGTGTCCTTAGACTAGACCCTTAACTTGACTGCAGGATCATTCTCGGGTGGGGCAAAGCTTCCGTTCTACTTCTCTGAGCTTTGAGGCTCATCCAAGACCTAGAGTCATGTGGTCTCCTGGCTGACTAGCCTTGTCCCCTGGGCCCTCTCTTTCCTGAGGTTCCAGGAGGATGGGCTGATCTGTAGGGTAGCCTCATACCCTGGTTAGAGTTCTTCAGACAGAACAGATAGGGTTTTATATAGAGACACATGATTAGTTGGAGAGTTGATGCTTGTGATTATGAGGCCACCTGCAAGCTAGAGATCCTAGGGTATGCCCTGGTGTGACTCATCCAAGACTGAAGGTCTGAGAACCCCGAGGGCCTCTGGGGGAAGTCCCAGAGCTCAAAGGCAGAGAGCCTGGAGTTGTAACATGGGGCATCCTAGCTGCAGAAGATTCCGCTTAGTCCTTCCCTCATTTTTCTCCTCAGACCTTGAGTTGACTGAATGGTGCCACCACACTGAGCATGACTCTTCCTTATTCAGACCACTCAGACTCACTGATACCTGGAGACACCTCAAAGACACACTTAGATAATGTTTGAGTGGCATTAGGTGCTTGTTAGTCAGCCATCACCTTCTGGAGGTGGACAGCCATATTTCACGGGGAGTGCCAGAGAGACTGGGGTGTGGTGGAAGCCTGATTCATACTGAATTCTTAGGGTCCCCATTTTTCAGCTAGTGTATGGCCTTGGGCATCTGATGGCTGTGCCTTACCTGCTGTCACTTCTGTGCCTTTAGGAATGGATTGACTTCCTTCCTTCCTTCCTTTCCTCCTTCCTTCCTTCCTTTCCTCCTTCCTTCCTTCCTTTCCTCCTTCCTTCCTTCCTTTCCTCCTTCCATCCTTCCTTCCTTTCCTCCTTCCTTCCTTCCTTTCCTCCTTCCATCCTTCCTTCCTTTCCTTCCTTCTTTCTTTCTTTCTTTCTTTCTTTCTTTCTTTCTTTCTTTCTTTCCCTTTTTCCTTCTTTCCCTCCCCTCCTCTCTTTAAGGAGAGGTCATTCAGAATATTCCCCAGGTATGATTCTCTAAACTCAGTCCCCTTTGCTGACTTTTGCATGTCAAATTTTCTAGTTCATGAGCTGCAGGCCTACATGGGGGTATTGTTATAGAAGAGTCCAGTGTGGACCAGGGCTTTGTTTGTTTTTGTTTTTCGAGACAGGGTTTCTCTGTTTAGCCTTGGCTCTGTAGACCAGGCTGGCCTTGAACTCACAGAATTGTCTCTGCATTCTCTGTTCTACTCTGAGGAAGTAGCCAACAGATTGGCAGGGCATTGGCTGGTGGCAGTGCTGTATGTAGAGTCCTATACAACTGCTGCTGACCAGCTCTCAGACAGACCTCTAACTCCCTGAGGCAGCTGTCCTGGAGATGGCAGGAGAAGACACATGTAAGTGTGTTCTCAGTTCAAAACAAGTCACCCTCTCCTCTTGTAGCAGATGGAACCTATACAAGGGGAATCTATGTCTCCTCATTGCTGGGTTCATGGGTCTTGGGGTCAAGTAGCGTTGGCAGAGGTGGGCCCTGGTCAGCTCCTACGTCTGAGGAAGGTGGGTTTTGAGTTCTCATTTAGACCATTGTTCAGGGCTCATGAACTGGGTGATCCCTATGCTCAGGACAGGGTAGATGAGCCACCAGGCCTCCAACATAGCTCCTAACTTTTCATGTCTTCTAGGGTAGACCCTGAAACAGCAGAAAAGAAAGCCTGTGTCTCTCACCTCAAGCCTGATTCATCCTGGTTAGGAACACTGCACCTGTCAAGTTTGTTTTTCATTTTTTTTTTTTTTAATTTGAGACAAGGTTTCTTTGTGTAGTCCTCACTGCCCTGGAACTCTCTATGTAGACCAAACTGGCCTCAAACTCAGGGATTCATCCACCTGTCTCTGCCATCCAAGTGTCAGGATTCCAGTTTACACCACCGTGCCTGGTTATGTTCAAAGTCTTCATTGGAAATCACATGCCTTCCAAATAGAGAAGTAGACAGTGTATGATGTAAGGATTTGGTTGTGTGTCAGGCGAGTAGCTGGGAAATAGATGGTCCCCCAGTGAGCGGTGACAGCAGGAAAGCAGTACCTCTGGGTTGGAGGGACAGAAGATGGGTGTGGAACCATGGCTACTGTCTTAGTTGCTTTTCCTGTTGCTATGAAAAACACTCTGGCCAAAGCAACTTGGGAAAGAAATGTTTTGTTTCAGCTTACAGCTCAAGGGTACCATTTCAGGCAGCGGGAGTATGAGGTAGCTGGTCACACTGCCTTCACAACCAGGAAGCAGAGGATGACGACTATGTGCTGCTGCTCAGCTCCCTTGCACTGTGCGGGTTCCCAGTCAGGGGATGGTGCTACCCACAGTGGTTAGATCTTCCAGCGTTAATCAGTGCAGTCGAGATAACCCCTACAGGCATACCCAGAGGTCTGTCTTGAAGGTGGTTCTAGAATCTGTCATGGTGACCATAATCATCACAGCTACTCTCAGGATGGACTTTGCATTTGCTGAGACTACTGCTGGAGAAACTTGGAGCTGAGAACGGTGCAGCCTGTGGATACCAGCAGGGTGTAGGTCGGCGCAAATGGCCTGCTCGGATGAGGTTGGGTCCAGGTCCCTCTTTGGTTTGTACCTTGGTCCTCTCATTATGCATTTGTTGTGGACCCTGATTCCTCCTAGCCTGCTGCTGCTGTTGCCAGGGTTCTGAATTCTTTGGGCAAGGTGGGACTGGGGAATAGTCAGGGGAAGCAGCATGGATGAGGGGTGTTCTTAGCATGGGTATGTAGGTGGAGCTTGGATCTGAAACATCATAGCTCAGGATTCTGTCTATATAGTGCTGCTGTGGTAAATGGGGCTGCCCTGTCTTTCAGAGTCTCAAGATTCAAAGGTCCGTTGGGAGAGCCAGAGATGGTACCACCTTCCCTCTGAGTCTGAAGCTGAAATCCAAGGCCAATGGGAAGGCTGAGGCTGAGAGTGAGGCTGCCTCTGAACCAGGTTACCAGGCATCCGTGTGGGTGTTCTGTACCATCAGTGGCCTCATCACCCTCCTGCCTGACGGCACAATTTATGGTGTCAACCACAGCTTTGCACTAATGTTGTTTGGTTATAAGAAGACGGAGCTCCTGGGCAAGGTAGGCTTGCCTGGCTTCCCAGCTCTCAGTGCTCTGAGGAGACTGTTTTGCACGTTCATGGGACCTGTACCTGATAGGCTGCAGAGCTTACGGGCTGTACTCATCCTATTCACAACCAGCACGTTTCATACTCCTGGGCCCCACATCGGTGGCCACTCTTGAACTGTCTCTGGGATCTTTCCAGAGAAGCAAGTGGGTCCTCTCCCTGGGATCTCTGTTCCCACTCAGCTGGCTTTGGTCTGACCGTTAGACCAGGTTTTGGGCACACTATGGATATGGGTTTACACATCCCGAGCGTGGTTGGTGGAGGGAACTGGAGGAGAAAGGGTTCTGTAACGTCCCTTCATGAGGCTAGACTTGAGTAGACAAGACTCTCACCAGAGGACGGCCATTAGCCTTAATGTCCTGCTTTATCCTCACCCAGACTTGGAGGGTACAGTCTCATCATGGGTCTGCACAAACCTCCACAGACAATACTTAACACACTCTGAGTCACAAGTCAGCCTGTTAGGCCAGGTTGTGCTCCACATGGTGCCAGCTGAGGCAACTCACTGGCTGAGTGTGGAGTCCTGAGGCCTTGACTGCTCACATTCTTGACATGGATGCTGTTTGGAACATTCATGGGAGCATCCTGCCTCTGAAGTCTCACCTCAGTCTCAGATGTCATGCCTCACTGTCCTACAACCTCTTTTTATTTGGGAGATGGATCCCAGTGGTGTTCTGAGTCCACTGGGAGGGAGGGTGCATGCCTCCCATATGCTGAAGAGAGATAATGGAGCAGCCTTGGGAACCACTCCTGCCAGCTTTTGCTTTTTTTGTTGGTTTTTGTTTTTGTTTTGTTTTTTTCAAGACAGGGTTTCTCTGTATAGCTTTGGAGACCAGGCTGGCCTCGAACTTACAGAGATCCGCCTGCCTCTGCCTCCTGAACGCTGGAATTAAAGGCATGCGCCACCCCTGGCCTCCTGCCAGCTTTTGGCATCTGCATATCCCTCCCCTGCTTTTGACATCTGTTGAGTGCCCACCAGGTTCCAGGTTCCTGGGTGTAGGTACTTGTGGCCCTTTATTACTTGGGGACTGCCTCTGAGGCAGGGCCTCCATCTGTTGTCATTTCAACTGGGTGATACTAGACTGTGTGACAGGTGGTTAGAGTATTCTATGGGGCTCTAAAAAGGCTATTCTATTTCTCAATAAAACCTTAACGAGTAACTAACCTAAAGTTTAGTTCAGTTGAGTTTACTTGATTAAAAAACAGCTAGCAGAATTCCTGGGTGATGGCTTTCTGGAGGAGTATTACAGGCATTGAGACCTCTAAGAGTCTTATAGGTAGAGACATGTGACCCTCATTGAAGTTACATTGGATCTGTGGCCACACTCAGCCGTCTAGGTTGGAGGCCACATACAGGTTCAGAAGCAGCATCTGTGTGAGCAGCTTTCTGTGGTCATATGGCCCTTGACAGGTGCACATCAGTATTCTTGGACCAAAAGCTATAAGATATTAGCTTCCCAAATACAGGCCTCTGCTCTAGGTAAGTGTGAAGTCACAGGCCAGCTGTCTGCTTGGAAGACATGTAGTTATTGGTATAACTTTCCTTAGAGTGTGTTGTTCGCCTTTTTTATTAAAAGTATGAAAAAAGTACATTATATGTATATAAGCCAAAAGCATGTGACCCAAGGTCTTTCCCACTCTGGGGGCTGAACTGTTTGCATTGCTGATTTTTTTTTTCCCTAGGAGGATGAGTTAGTTCAGTGGGTCAGAATGGATCCTCCTAGGTTCTGAAATGTCACTGCTTTGTTCCCTAGAATATCACTTTCCTGATTCCTGGTTTCTACCACTCCATGGACCCCGCATGTGACAGTTCTGTACAGCTGCCAGATCTTGTCAACTGCCTGGACATTGGCAGTAAGAGTGGTCCAGGGGAGATGAGCTCTGATGTCCAGCAGGACTGGGAACTGGCCAGTGGGGCCCAGGGTAAGGCACAGCCTCCTCCACCACAGTGTTTCTGTGGCTGCCTAGCCCCTTGGAGGCTGGTGGCTCTGTGACAGATGAACAGAGCGGAAGCCATTGATGACCTCTCCAGAAGCTCAGAGTGGGCAGGGTAGTGGGAGGCTCAGCCTTGTACAGGCTCTTGTTCTTCTTTCCCAGGAGCTGGGACGCTTGTGGGTTCGTTTGTACAACTGTGTTAGCATCTAGAAGGGAATTAGGAAGTCCTCCAAGACTGAACCACTTGTGCTCCGTCTGAGACAGAAATAGCTGGCCAAAATTTTGTCCATTTAAAGAGAATTTATACCAAGCCAGGTGTAGTACTTGTAATCCCAAATTGTAGGTTGCAGTTATTTGGGGCCAACCTGGAATACTTAGGAAGACCCTATCTGGAAAGAAAAAGCTGCCTCCCAGGAATCCCTGTCTGCCCCAGTAATAACAATAATACATTCATGTAGTTTCACGTAGTATAAGGTTGAATTGTTATAACCTGTCATATTTATAAATTATGTTACATACCTGTTGACTTCAATATGTTTATCCCAATAGTTTAAGGTCTTCAGTTAGGGGTTTGTAGAGATGGTGTAACAGTCAGCTTGCTGTCCCAAAAGATCCCCCTTGTCTCAGGATACTGGGAGGGTGGGGCACTTTGCTGATACCCTGCAAAGCCAGTGTCTGATCTCTTGGGAGTTTCTAGGCTGTGCTGAGGCCTGTGGGTCCGAGTGATGGGCAGAGGGAAGGACCTCTGTTCTTTCGGGACGGGAGAGAAGTGATGAAACAGGAACACGTGAGGGATCAGTGCTAGCAGAAAGCGAAGCTCTTGGCATGCTTCTGATGTACATGCTAAGTGTAGGCCGTCTGAGTAGTTGGCATGCTTCTGATGTACATGCTAAGTGTAGGCCGTCTGAGTAGTTGAGGTTTTGATACAGGTATATGGGTGCTTTACCACAGTGCCTGGGAATAGAAAACTCTTGATTTTGCTGTTAGGTCCAAGGGTAGATGCAGTGTTGGCCCGTGACCACATGCTGTCACAAGATGAGACCTTGCAGCTAGTAGGAGGACAAGTCTCCCTCAGGACGCAGACGCGGTTGGAAACTGGATGCCAGATACTTCCTTCTTACTCGTCTCAGGCCGCCCTGGGGTAAGTGCTCTGGTGGGAGGTGGCAGGGTTACTAAACACCTGATTAGGTGATATCTAGCTCATGGGTAATAGTGACAGTGATGGTTAACGTGCACTGGCCATCCTCTCTGTCTGTACACAGGATTGCTTTTTTCTATTACTGACTGAGAGTCCATACAATCCCTGCCAGAGAGTACCCATGATGCTATTCTCATCGCATAGACAAGGAAGTAGGATATTCAAGAAAATGATAAGAGAACTTTAGAATTTTGAAATCATTTGAAACCATTCTCGTTATATATTTTAAAATAAAGTTATTCATTTTGAGTAAAGGAAGTTGATATTGGAAAACTTTGAAAGGTAGGAATAAAAATTCATTTGTCATCATAGCGTTTTAATATTTCTAATGGGTTTGTTTCACTGCAAACTTAACACAGAACACATCATGGTACTTCATGGCAAGATGGAATTACTCTGGGTGAATCAGGACTCATTTCACTGTACATAGGCATCTTTAGATACTGATGTTCTAAGGGCTTGATTAGCATCCATCACATGGTTTCTAACAAGATCCATTCATTCATTCATCTGTTTGTTTACTAATTTACTTACTCAACAAACTTGTAGAAGACTTAAGGTTTCATTCCCAAAAGTTACAATGTACTCAGGAAGGTAAACTTTCCATCTTAAGAATTATAAAAGTCAGGACCTGTTGGGGAAGGGAGTGAGTAAGGTGTGTCCTGAGGAATTGCTGCTGAAGCTGAGTCCCATGGTAGGCCAGGTGCTCAAACAAAACAGAACTGCAGGCGAAGTACTCTCTAGAAGCCAGCCCTTGCTGTCCCTGGCAGGAGGACTGAGGTTCCTGAGGCAGCTCTGGACAGAGTCCCACTTGCCTTATGTGAACGTCTGCTGGTGGGACAAGAGGAGGGGCTCCCTAGCTCCAAAGGGTCACTTGAAAACCTCTCTGTGTGTCTCTACAGTGGCCAGAAGTTAGTGACGGGTGGCACTTGGCTGCCAGGGCAGCTGGCAGTTTGCTGTCATGCTAAAATCAGGGATTCTAAGTCTGCCATACAGAATTCTCCCACCCCCAAACTTGACTCTAGCAGTGTCAATGGCCAAACTATTGCCGAGCTGACAAGAAGCCATTGGTGGCCTTCCCTCAGCCCCTGCAATGCAGAGGCCATACTGCAGGAACAAAAATCATGTCCCCAGTCTGTTTTCCTAGCAGGTGTGACTTGTGACCTTTCTGAAATCTTAGACCCTATCTGGGATAGAAAGGGGAGCAGAGTGACAGCAGAGAGGATAACAAACACTGGGAACCACCGGCATTTGGAGGTTCTAAGAGAGTGAATACCATGCCCAAGGACTGTCTAGACCAGCATTTGGAGGTTCTAAGAGAGTGAATACCATGCCCAAGGACTGTCTAGACCTCTTGGCAAGATGAGGTACTTCTGGTGTGCGTCCCTGTGCCTTCATCCTCAGGATGACTCTAATCTGTTTTTGGAGAGTGCTAGACTCACCCTGTGACCTGGAGGACTGGTCAGAGAGGAAGGGAGTGGTGGGTAGATCCAATGCTTCTTACTTCCTCTCATTCCTGCTTCTCATCCCTGCTTTCTGAACTCCGCCCATAGCATCTTCCACTGTGGCACTCTCCCCCCATCTTTATGGACTCCTGTCATACAATTTGTGGTGACCCCCATTTCAAGACCACACAGTATATTCTGATTACCAGGTGCTTGACCTTAGTTGTGGTCGCTGTGAGCAGACACAATACAGTAAGCTTGTGGGTAAAGGGTGGGCTGGTGGATGTAGATCATCCGTCCTGCCTGGATGCGGAGCAGCTTCCTCTCTGCCTGAGCAGCTGCTTCACACTGAATGTGCTCACCCTCGCCCCGCCATGTAAGAGGTCCCTCACCTCATCCTCAGCCTCGTCCCGCCATGTGAGAGGTCCCTCACCTCATCCTCCAGCCTCGTCATGCTATGTAAGAGGCCCCTCACCTCATCCTCCAGCCTTCTGCTCCTACCCCTAGTCTCCTTACTCCTCACTGTAGCTCCTTGTATGCATTTCTTGGCCAGCCTTCTCTGAGCTACCTCCCCAGGCTCTGTGTAACTAGGTGTTGGGTGGTGTGGAGAACCAGCCATAGCCTGCTGTCACGGACTTTATTAGATACTGAAGTCCTTTTCAGTAGCTTTCTTTGATTCATCCTTGGTATATGTAGATTTATATGAAAAATAAAAGTTTAAGAGTAGATATTTAATTTTTAGCTTACTTACAAAATTGAGAGATTTCTGTTAGAAATTTATCATGCTGAATGCATTGTACGTGTCTCCCATAGAGGGAAAGTCGGTGTGATCTCTCATTGCCACTAGTGACTCTCATCCAAATTCCTGTCTCCAGGGTGGACAGCAACCCAGTTTATGGTGAGCGTTCATTGCCCACAGACCATGGTGGACAATTACTGTCTCAGAACCAGCAAGACACTCCAGAAGAATCCCCACCAGTCCTTAATGAACATTTATTGTCTGAGATTCAGAAAAATACCTCAGAAGAAAGCCCACTAACCCACAGGAAATGGTTATTGCCCAAGGCCCAGCAAGACACCACAGAAGGAAGCCTGTCAGTCCTCAATGAGCAGTTATTGTCTGCAGGCCAGCATATCAGTGTCTCGGAGAAGGAGACTCCTCCAGCCCCAGAGAGTTATGGGCAGGGTCTTTTAGAAGAAAGCAGGTCCAAACAAAAGGATGCAGAACTGTTTGCTTCTTCATGTGAAGATTCTGAGCCTCTGGTCCCAGTGAAGGACAGGAGCAGCAGCATGGACGTGTGCAGTCTGCATCAGGAAGCTCAGCTAGAGCTGATGGGTGTCAGCAGTCCCAGCAGTCCTAACCTCTGGGTGGATGCCACCATGCCTGAGCCCCACACCGCAGGGCAGCTAGCAGGAGGGGGCTTCCTGACACACTGCCCACAGTATAGGAGTGAGTGGCTCTTACAACAGCGAGGCCAGGACTTGGCTTCCAGCCCCTCTGGAATGGCCTGTGTCTTGCTTGGGACACCCACTCTGGATGAACCATGGCCAGGAGTGAGAAATGACCGAGAAGAGCTGCAAACTTGCTTGATTAAGGAACAGTTGTCCAAGTCGAGCATTGGGGGAACTCTGGGCCTCTCCTCTTGTGTGGAACTTGTCCCAGCAGAACATCCTCCCTTCACCGCCCCTGTGTCCTTCTGTGACCTGGGAGGGCGAGACCTACATGCTAGCCGCTCGGGCAGCTCCTCGGCCTGCTATGCTTTGGCCACTGACCTCCCTGGTGTCCTGGAGGCAGTGGAAACCCAGGAGACGGATGTGAGTTCTTATTCCTGGAACCTCCGGGAGCTCTTTCTCAATGACCAGACAGACAGAACTCCGTCACACTGTTCATGTGCCACATCTGAACTCAGCGAGACACCTTCTCCTTCAGTGGTGGACTCAGATTTAGATGTGGGTGCTCTGAACAGGCAGGGTTCTGATATTCTAGGTGACCGAGAGATGTTGCTCCTGACCGGCACCTATTTTGACCTTGGCGAAGGCCGACAGTTCCAGGAGATGGACGCAGGATATGATCGGGCAGAACTGTCTGGCATTTCTTTGGTATCCTCTAAACACTATGAAACTAGTGACATAGAAAGCCCAGGCCATGGCCCTTCTGTACCAGATCCTGGTCCTTGTGGTATGTGCCTATCAGCAGAGACGCCCAGGCTGAGTGCCCAGATCACGTCTACTCCTGTGGCACCTGGGGCCCCCGTCCTGCAGCCGGAGATCCAGGAGGGCATCTACTCTGGAAGCTGCTACCACCGAGATGGCTTACGACTGAGTATGTTCTGGGGAAGAGGCTTTTGAAATCATGGTAATGTTAAATGAGGTCATTGGAGGGATGGGCAGAGTTCTATACTTCCTCACCTCCCTGCCCTTCAGGTATACAGTTTGAAGTGAAGCGCGTGGAGCTCCAGGGCTCTGCAACCCTGTTCTGCTGCTGGCTGGTGAAGGACCTCTTACATAGCCACCGGGACTCAGCCACCCGAACCCGCCTGTTCCTTGCCAGCCTGCCTAGCTCTACCCACTCCATGCCCGAGCTCTCTCGATCCAGCATCGGAGAGGTTGGTATCTGTACTCAGCTCACTCTGTTCACTTAGTACTGTGCTGCAGGTTTTCCAGGTGGCGTTGCTGCCCTTCTGGCTGGGTGGGTGGAGGGTCTGTCTGTGTCTTTTAAACAGGCCTTCTAGTACCTGTGTAAAGCCAAGTAAGACTTTCAGTGAATATACACCATGTGCAGAGGGATGCAGATGAGTGTAGACACGAGCCAGTTTGGGATGGTGGTTTTGGGTGGACACTGCCAGAGAGCTCCTTGGAGATTTTCAGACCAGGCTCCTGAGAGCACAGGAGATAAGAGCAGCATGGATGCAGGTGCTGTACTGACAGAGACGAGGTGGCTTGTGATGTCCCAGACCTTTCTTTGTCTCCATAGATGCTCAGAGCCAAGCCTTGGTTTGAGGAGGCCCCAACACCCGCAGAGCTGGAGGGGCTGGCGGCCTGTGAGGGCGAATACTCCCTTAAGTATAGCACCATCAGCCCACTTGGAAGTGGGGCCTTTGGCTTTGTGTGGACTGCAGTCGAGAAGGAACACAACAAAGAGGTACTTGGGTTCATGTGGGGATTTCTCTACCAGAGGTCCCTGATCTGTAACTCTGAGACTTGTAATGGAGGAGGGACCAGGATATGGGTGCTTTCTGGATATAGCAGGAAGCTTCTGCAATGCATGCTCTTAACTCCAGAAATAGCGCTGTTGAGTTTCACATTCAGATCTTGCTTTCTTGCAGGGCTCTTGGGTTCTGGCCAGGCTTGTTCTGTGTTGTCACCTCCCTGTTTCTGAACACAGGGCTTATACTAGTCTACTGTCCATATGGCATGCTGATGCCTCATGGGCATGCAAACTTGCTTTTGAAACCAAATGTAGGGCCACTGCTCAACTTGAAAAATACGCCCCTATCAAACAAAGAAACAAGCTAGCTATAACAAACACACTCAGGGTCTGCCCAAGATTTCTTATGATAGCTCTCAACTGGGTTTATACTTGATGCCTCTTGGGCGCCATACGTTCTTTTAGGTACACGGATTCCTCCAGCTGGTGTCCCTCCTCAGTCACTAGGGCCATTTCTGTGCATTCTCCTACCCGAGCCTTAGAACCCACTGTCCTTCACTCCCAGATCCCACTGGCACGTTGTGACTTTAGAACCAACCATCCTACTCAGAAGCAGCACCCACTTCTTGCTGTGCTCTCAGGCTCCCCTGGGCATGCGCCACCAGCCATGACCTGGAGGGCCCTGGAGTATGGCCACAGAGCCCCTTCTTACCACTTGTTCTGGAATCACCAGCGATCTGTGTCTTGCGAGTTGCTGCTTCATAGTCTTTCTGGCTCAAGTAATTTTTCAGAGGATGTTTTAGGATTTCCCCTCCCTAGCATGGCAGTCTTGTCTTTGCTCTCTTTGGTTCACTCTTTGTCCTTCTTCCTTCGTGTCACATTGGCTAGGACCCTAGAGTAGTGTTATTTAACAGTTACTGTGGTACCTTTCATTTCCCGAGGAGCATATTTTATTTGAAGACATTGATTAGTAGCCCCGTTGGATGCGTCTTTTTTTAAAACATGTATTTATTAGAGTGAGTGTGTGTTTGTGAAAGTGTGTGTGTGTGTATGCACATGCATGAGGTAAGGGAACATGTAGAGGTTCTCTTCCACCGTATGGGGATCACATTCAGGTGGTCATTCTTGTTGGCGGCTGCCTTTACTTACTGAGTCATCTCCCTGGACCCTGAGTATTTTTCTTTTTAATGATGAGTTTGAGGGGCTGGAAAGATGGCTCAGTGGTTAAGAGCACTCACTGCTCTTGCAGAGGACCAAAGTTTAATTCCCAGAACCCATATGGCAGCTCAGAACTGTCCCCTTACACATCCAGTACCCTTACACAGATAAACATGCAGGCAGAAAAACAAAGAACAGAAAAACTGGTTTTTTTTTTTTGTTTTTTGGTCTTTCAAGACAGGGTTTCTCTGTTTTGCTCTGGAGCCAGGCTGGCCTTGAACTCACAGAAATCTGCCTACCTTTCCCTCCCGAGTGTTGGGATTAAAGGCGTGTGCCACCACCACCCAGCTGTCTCAAAAATTTTTTAAATTATTATTGTATGTATATACATGCATGATGTATGTATATGTATAAGTGCATGCTACACAGTGGATGTGAAGGCCAGAGGACAACCTGGATGAGTTGGTTTTCTGTTTCTACTCTGTGGGTACCAGGAATTGAACTCATGTTGTCAGGCTTGGCAGCAAGCACCTTTACCTGCTAAGCCATCTTGCCAGCCCTGAAATTCCCTATTCCCTTGGTATCCTGAAGACTTGTCAGAGTTTTTCAAGGGGTAGATTCATTTTATATTTTTTGCCTGTGTATTGAATATGTGAATGCATACATTGTGGAGGTCCAGGTTTGATACCGTGACTCTCAGTCACTCTCAAACCTTTCTGAGGCAGGGCCTCTCAGAGAATCCAGAACTTGCTAGTATAGCTAGTCAGTTTGCCCTGGGATTCCTTGTCTTCATGTAATGAGAGCTGGGCAGGCCACCATGTCCACCTGCTATTTACATGGGTCACAAGGCTCTTACCTGTGGTCCTCATACTCATGTATCAGGCACTTTACCACTGAGTCATTGCCCCAGCCTCAGCTTCCCTATGTGAACGCCAGCACTATTTCTTAAGACTATTCTTGGGTGCCCATGTCAAAAATCAACTGCTGTCCACACAGTTGTTTCTGACTCTCAGTCCTACACCATTGATCTGTGTGCCTGTCCTTAAGCCGAAGTGTTTTGATTATTATACCTTTGTAGTAAGTTATAAAACTGGGAAATGTTAGTATTCCAAATTTGTTCTTCTGTTTCAAGACTGTTTTGACTATCTTGCAATTTCATAAGAGGTTTGGATCCCCTGGTTCATTTCTAAAGGAAAACTAGCTGGGTTATCATAGCAATGTGTAACTTAACTTGGAGATTCTGCCATATTAGTAATCTCTTTTCTGCTTCATTAACAGGGATGTCTTTCCATTTACATGGATCTTGGATTTCTTTCAATGTTGTTTTGCAATTTCAGTGTATATGCTTGTCCTGTAGTTAAATTTCCTTTTTTTTTTTTTCCTTTTTGAGACAAAGTCTTACATAGCCAGGCTGCCTTGAATTTACTATATAGCTGCAGATGACCTTGGACTCGTGACCCTCCTGCCTTTTCTTCCCATGTGCTAGATTTACAGGTGTGTGCAGTTATGCCTGGTAAATCTACATTATTCTTATATCCAGTTTCTATGTTCATATTTTACTTAGAATACATTTCTTACTGTATTAATAACTATTAACTGTTAGTGTATATTAATTATATAAGGTAATTTTCCCTTAACAATACATGAATATTACACTTGAATGTACTAAGATGGCTCTTCTCAGAACACTTCTTCCCACCCCACCCCCAAGGCAGGGTTTCCTGTGTAGCCCTGGCTGTCCTGGAACTCGCTCTGTAGACCAGACTGGCCTTGAACTCACAGATATCCTCCTGCCTCTGCCTCCCGAGTGCTGGGACTAAAGGCGTGCGCCACCATGCCTGGTTCTTCTCAGAACTTTTTAAACTTGTTTCTGATGCTTCTAGCAACCTAATTTCTTTTTTCTCCCTGTAATTACCAAGTTTGAATTTCAGAAATTACCAGGATATACTTAGGAGCTTGTGTGTTTTTATTGTTCCCTGATGCTTGGTAAGACCTATTTTAAAAAGATCTTTTTGTTTTTGTCCATCCTGTACCTTATTTCTGTGAAACTCACTTCAGGCATGTGTGGTAGCTCCTGGAGATTGCCTGCTTTTTTTTTGTCGTCTTGTTCTGTGCAGGCAGATGGGCAGCAGGCATCTCTTCTTACAATGTCTTAAGCAGGGCACCTGCTGGCTTTTGCCCTCCCTTCCTGGGCACTGAGCCCCTTCTCAGTTCCCCAGGACCAACTGGCTTGCGTCTGCCTCATGTTCCTGCGTTCTCTCACATCTCTCTCCTTCCCTGTCATCTTCAGGATCTGTCTGCTTCTCCCAAACTATGTCTTTTCTCTCCTGACCAGTGTGAACGATAGTTGTGTAGTGCAGAAACTTGTGACTGTTGTTCCTGCTTCTGTCCCCACCCCATCACTGGTCCTTCGCCTGGCTTCCTTAGGTCTGAGTCCTTGCCAGCCTTCGTCCCAGTTTTTCTCCCTTGTGCCTGCCCACTTAGTGCCTCCTCAGTTCTTTCTTCCTGGGCTCTCAAATTCCTAGTGCATGATGCAATACTGTCTACTGCTCAGTAGAGGGTCAGCTCCTTGCAGCATGACAGTGTCTCTCACTGACACACAGACAGGCCCTGCCGGGATTTTTACCCCGGACTGCTTTACCTGTGTGCCCAGCAGTCCATGGGATAGCCAGTCTGTTGAGTGGCAAAGCCTGTTTTGCAGTGAATGACTGCAGTCTTTCTTTCATTATGTGGGATTTACACTGGTCTTGGCGGAGATGTGTATAAGGCAGTGGTGGGCACCAAGTGTAGCAGACAGTAGAGGTCTGCTCTCTCTCTCTCTCTCTCTCCTGTGTAGGTGGTGGTGAAGTTCATTAAGAAGGAAAAGGTTTTGGAAGACTGTTGGGTTGAGGATCCCAAACTTGGGAAAGTCACGTTAGAGATCGCCATTCTGTCCAAGGTGGATCACGCCAACATCATCAAGGTAGATGGTGGTTTTCTGTGTGCTGTCACCCTCGTGTTGCTTCTCTAACATTATTTTGTTGATTAGAAGCGTTTTCAGACAAAACTAGACTTGGCCTTGTCTCTTTCAGGTTCTGGATATATTTGAAAACCAAGGATTCTTCCAGCTAGTGATGGAAAAGCATGGCTCTGGCCTAGACCTCTTTGCTTTCATAGACCGCCATCCTTGCTTGGATGAGCCCCTGGCGAGTTACATCTTTCGACAAGTGAGAGCGGACCAGGGCTGTGTGGGGTGGATGTGGGGTTGGGTAATTGAACTCCATGGCTGCAAGAGTCAGTGGCATGTAATTAGTTTCCTCAATGAGGCAGTGTTAGCCTCAGCCTTCAGGTTTATGTGGTAAGATACATACTTTGAAAAGATCATTGTGTGATTGAAGTAGAGAAAGTGAAGTTGGAAGGAATTATCAGGGAAGTACAGGGTTTCTCTGTATTGTTTTGGGAGGCTGTTCTGGAACTTGCTCTGTAGACCAGGCTGACCTTGAACTCACAGAGATCCGCCTGCCTCTGCCTCCCGAGTGCTAGGATTAAAGGCGTGTGCCACCAACGCCTGACCAGGGAAGTAGATTTTAGTGATTAAAGTATATTCATATCTGTAAAGTGTTTTCGTGCCAGTCACAAACAACAAAGCCATCATGCTGGTTGTGAGCCTTGTGCCTATAGTCACTAGTCCTGAGACCTTGTGTGTAGCCTTAAAACCACCTAATGTGTGCAGTTGAAAACACTGTTGTGACTGCATGAAAAGGCTGATGGGATCAAATCGGGGATTACCTAAAGAAGCATGAGGATTGCAGTCTGAGCTATCTATGTTGCAGTTTGTCCTGATCTGTTTGTATCTAAATGTGTATGACTGTTTGCTCACTGGCTGTTTGTAGGCATGGGAAAGTGATCGGCAAATCTGGAAGGCAAATGAGAAGCAGGGAAAGGAGGGCAAAGACAGTGAGTCTTGTTTTGAGTGCCGAGAAGGCAGTGGTCCCTCCATAGGTGCTCCCAGAAATGTGTGGGTCGTTTATACTTGTCCTCTAATTAGTTATTGAAAGTGATGTGATTCCTAGTGAAAACTTCTTTAATTTACATTTCTTCAAAGTTGTAAACTCCCAAAAGTTACTTGGATTTTTGAAAGTTTCTCAGGCTTCTACACGTGTGTTTCAGCCATTGTGCATGCCAAAAGCCTACCCTACTGCCGCTCTTGCGCTTCTTTTTGGAAGATTATACATTTCCCCCTTCCTTCCTCCTTCCTTCCTTCCTTCCTTCCTTCCTTCCTCCCTTCCTTCCTCCTTCCTTCCTCCCTCCCTCCCTCCCTCCCTCCCTCCCTTCCTTCCTTCCTTCCTTCCTTCCTTCCTTCCTTCCTTCCTTCCTCCCTCCCTCCCTCCCTCCCTTCCTTCCTTCCTTCCTTCCTTCCTTCCTTCCTTCCTTCCCTTCCTCCCTCCCTCCCTTCATTCCTTCCTTCCTTTTCTCTCTTTTTTCTTTCTTCTGTTTGTCGTCCGTCCGTCCGTCCGTCCATCCATCCATCCATCCACCCATCCATCCATCCATTCTCTGGTTCAGCTGTATGGACACAGGGCAGGGGTGGGGCTTGTAGAAAGGAAGATGAAGATGTAAAAGTATAGTTTCTGATTAAATGTACAGTACACACCTATAATTTCAGTACTTCCTAACGCTGAAGCAGGATGGAGAATTCAAGGCCACTCTGGGCTACATAGAAAATTTTCTCCTGACCCAAGTCTTCTGATTGGGTTCTAACATGTATGTGTCTATGTATGCATGCATGCATCTTCATATATTCATGAATGTTCAAATATAAGCATATATGTCTGCATGTACATGAATATGTATATGTATATATTCATAAATCTGTATAAGTAAATATATAGGCAAGTGTTTATGATGTATACTTTATTTTTTAATTGGTTGAGCTTAGTTGACATGCTATTAACTATTTTCTGATTCAAACATTTTTCATTTGGAAGTATAAAATTATCTCCAAAGATTAAAATGATTGATGTCCAAGAAATCATCAAGTTGATTGCTCCAGTTGGTATCCAAATTGTGATCTTACTGATGGAAGCTTGCTTAGTAGGTCTCCACCATAGAGACACAGTGTGCCTAGGCAGATGGGTGTTAGGACTCCTGCTTTCCAGAGGCAGAGTGCCTGTGTACAGCCTGCTTCCTGGGGAGTCACTTATTGCACACAGTGGTAGATGTGCTGACTGGGAAATGGCAGTGAACACACCACGCGGGAGCTGCTGGAGCCCTGCATGAGGGTTCTCTGTCTCTGGTTGACATCACACTGCTGCCCGCACTCTGCGCAAGACCCTTTCCTTCCCTGTGAGCTGTGGTCTCCACACAGTGCCTATCCATGGGTGCTGTGCAAGTGATACTGAGCAGCAGTCATCCCTCAATGGCCCACAAGTTTCTCAGTCTCTACTTGGTGGCCTGTCTTTCCTCCTGAGGTGGTTATGGGGCGAGTGTCTGCTGCGAGGCTTTTTTTCAGATGTCAGTAATAACATCAGTGAGCCATGAGTTTGTGTTGCTTGCAGGCCTATGACAGGCACAGTGATGCATTCCCAGAAGGGCTGTGCCCCTGTCGGTGCAGAACCGTGTCTCCAGCACCCAGCACTCCTCACTGGGGAATGTTTATTTTTCCTTTGCGGTTGTTTTCCCTGTTCCTTCCTAATATTTATTATCAATGCTTGTTTTATTTGAATTGCGTTTTGAAGTGTTGTGGCCTCTGATTCCAGCTGGTGTCTGCTGTAGGCTACCTGCGCTCCAAAGGCATCATCCACAGAGACATCAAGGATGAGAACATTGTGATTGCTGAGGACTTCACAATTAAGCTGATAGATTTCGGCTCAGCTGCCTACCTAGAAAGAGGCAAACTATTCTATACCTTCTGTGGGACAATAGAGTACTGTGCACCCGAAGTTCTCATGGGAAACCCGTACGTATCACACGCTCCTGTAGTTTACCCTCTTTTTGTACTTTTGTAAGCATGTCCTTCTTTAGGTTGGGAAAGTTTTCTTCTATGATTTTGTTGAATATATTTTCTGTGCCTTTGAGTTGGACTTCTTCTATCCCTATTTTTCTTAGGTTCAATTTTTTTATGGTGTCTCAGGTTTCCTGCATGCTTTGTGTCAAGAATTTGTTGGATGTAACATTCTGACTGATGAATCTGTTTCCTCTATCATATCTTCAGTGCCTGAAGTTCTCTCTTCCATCTCTTGTAGTCTGTTGGTTATGCTTGCATTTGTGATTCCTGATCCTCTACCCAGATTTTCTGTTTCCACAGTTACTTCAGTTTGTGTTTTCTTTATTGCCTCTATTTCAGATTTCAAGTCTTGAATTGTTTCTTTCACTTGTTTGATTACTTTTTCTTGGTTTTCTTTAAGGGATTTGTTGATCTCTTCCAATTTTTTTGTTTGTCTTTTCCTCCATTTCTTTTTTTGTTTGTTTTTGTTTTTTTGAGACAGGGTCTCGTTCTCCAGTTGGTATAGTTGGGGGCTGTGGCTCCGTTGACTTCTCCTTCAGGTGCAAGCAGAGCAGGCCCTCCAGTGATCACTTCTCCTCCCCGTTTTTTATATCCTCCTTCTTCTGGGGTCAGCAAACTTTCGGTGGCTACATGCAGCCCCTACCTGGTGTGGCTGGTAGCACGGGTGAAGTTAGGCTAACTAACTAACACTTCCCCTCCTCCCCAGGCTTGCTCTTCCAGGCGACCCAGTTCCTGATAAACCCTCCATCCTACCATTCATCGCCCTGACCCCTCAGCTGTCACTGTACTCGCTCCATCTGTGTTTCTCTCCATTGTCTTGACTTTGAGCGCCCTTTACAGACCCCACCACAGATTTTCCTGTAGGCTGTACCACCACCTTGTTCTGATGCTGCCTGTGGCTCCTGTGCCCTTAGTGAGACCTGGTTGTGACTCGCTGCCCGCTCCTCTGCTCTCCCCACATCTGGGTGTCCCTCCTGTCCGGGGTCATATAGGGTGTCTCACTTGAGGCAGCTCTGCATGGACTGAGAAAGCAAGTCTTTGACTGGGGTTGGAAGGCTCCGGCACGCAGAGTGGGGACTGGCTCAGTGAGCTTTGTACCCAGTGCTCTCTGTTCCTCCTTGCAGCTACCGAGGGCCAGAGCTGGAGATGTGGTCTCTGGGGGTCACTCTCTACACGCTTATCTTCGAGGAGAATCCCTTCTGTGAGGTGGAGGAGACCATGGAGGCAGTCATTCACCCCCCATTCCTGGTTTCCGAAGGTGAGCATGAGCTCCAGGTGGTGAGTGATGCCACTGCCTCAGCATTTTGTTTCCGTCTCCTCTGTCTGTGCTGAGCATAGTAATTTTAATGTGACTGAAACATTTTGGTAATTTCTATTAGTGTCCCTTGGATCTTCAAGGCCCTTTTGAATGCGAGACTTGACAGTCAGTAACTTTGACTGTGGCAGTATCAATGGGGTCAGGAACCCCATTTGTGGAGCAGGGTGGCGTCAGTGCATGGGGAGACTTGACCCTCAGCCACTCTTGTGGAAAATGTCAGTCATACTGTGAGCAAGTTGAGGCCAAGGGATGCTTCGTGTCTGTAATGAAGGTCTGGAGTTAAGTGGCTTCCTTAGCTTGGAGCAGGTACCTCAGGAGCTGGCAGGTGTCGTCACGTGTCAGCTGGGGCCCCTTTCACTCCAGTATCCTGTGGTCCCACGGCAGTCACTTACAAGGAGGACCCAAGTGGTGACAGATGATCAGTCTGTGCCTTAGCCTCTGCTTAGGTTAGAAGCGCCTGTCTGTTCTGAGAATTCCAGCCAGTGCCTTAGACGGCAGATAACCATTCAGAGCTGCAGAGTGGAGAGCCTGAGTGAAGGTGGTGGCTGGTTCAGTTCTCAGTGAGGCCACTTTTCACCTTGTGAGTGGCACCTCTTGCTGTGTCCTCATAGTGAAGACAGAGAACCAGTCTTTTCTACCTCTTAGGACACCAACTCCTGTCTGTGCCCCGACTCACAGCTTCCTCTAACTCTGACACCTCCCAGCAGCCCACTACCCTACACGTCACCTTAGGGGTTAGCTCTCAGACACAGACTTTGGAGGGGGATACTCAGCTACAGCAGCCTGGGAGAGGATTTGCGAGCTTTACCAGGTGTGGATCCCTAAGATGCTGCAGTTTATGTGGGGTCCTGCTCTGCTCCAGGCCTGCTCCATGGCTTCTCATCACACAGGTGGGACCCCTGGTGAGGAGGCTCACAGAGGCCAACACATTCACTTACTTGGAGGACAGAGGTTGGGCTCCTCCTAGAGCTGACCTGAGGTCTTCACGTGGCTACTGCCTTCCCCTGCAGTCTCTCACTCAGTCAGAGCCCATGACCAAAAGCAGCCTGGGAAGGCAGGGTTTCAGCTTACAGCCACACAGCACCGTCCGTCACCGAGGGAAGTCAGGGCAGGAACTCACACAGGGCTGGAACCTGGAGGCAGGAGCTGCTGCAGAGGCTGTGGAGGATGCTGCTTACTGGCTTGTCCCTCAGCCTGCTGCTTCCTTCCCTTCCTTTCCCTTCCCTTCCCTTCCTTTCCCTTCCCTTCCCTTCCCTTCCCTTCCCTTCCCTTCCCTTCCCTTCCCTTCCCTTCCCTTCCCTTCCCTTCCCTTCCCTTCCCTTCCCTTCCCTCCCTCCTTTCCTTCCCTTCGCTTCCCTTCCCTTCCCTTCCCTTCCCTTCCCTCCCTCCCTCCTTTCCTTTCCTTTCCTTTCCTTTCTTTCCTTTCCTTTCCTTTCCTTCCTTTCCTTCCTTTCCTTTCCTTCCCTTCCCTTCCCTTCCCTTCCTTTCCTTCCCTTCCCTTCCCTTCCTTCCCTTTCCTTTCCTTTCCTTCCCTTCCTTTCCTTCCTTTCCTTTCCTTTCCTTCCCTTCCTTTCCTTTCCTTCCTTTCCTTTCCTTTTTCCTTTCCTTTCCTTCCTTTCCTTTCCTTTCCTTTTTCCTTTCTTTCCTTTCCTTTCCTTTCCTTTCCTTTCCTTTCCTTTCCTTTCCTTTCCTTTCCTTTCCCCTTTCCTTTCCTTTCCTTCCTTTCCTTTCCTTCCTCCCTCCCCCCCTTTTTGAAGTAGGGTTTCTGTGTATATCCCTGACTATCCTAGAACTCTCTCTGTAGGCTGACCTTGAACTCAGAGGTCCACCTGCATCCCCCCCCCCCCCAGTTCTAGGATGAAAGGCATGTGCCACCACTGCCCAGCTTCATCCTGCTTTCTTACAGTACCTGTGACCACCATCCCATGGGTGGCACCACTCATGGTGATCTGTGCCCTCCCACTTCAATAATGAAAATGCCCCACAGGCCAATCTAGTGGTGGCGTTTTCTCAGTCAAGCTCTTTCTTCCTGAATAACTCTTAAATTCATGTCAGGTTGACGTAAAACTAGCTAACACACCTTGTAAGCAGACAATCTGAGGTTTGATTGAGCTGGATCTCAACTTCCATGCTTCCATTTTGGAGGTGATATAGTCATAAAGGTATTTTCTGAGAACACCAGGCCAGGCCTTAAAGCCCCAGGATGCCTGGCTGCTTTCTGGCTTTGTGAGAGCTTCTGTGAAGCAGGACACCCTGAAATCTGTAGGTCTGAGATGTGCTCCACTTGACTTGGCCTGGTTCCACCGTGTTCTTTATGTCTCTAGAACTTATGAATCTTCTATCTGGGCTGCTGCAGCCTTCCCCTGAGCAGCGGACCACTTTAGAGAAGCTGATCATAGACCCCTGGGTGACACAGCCTGTGGACCTTGCTAACTACACCTGGGAAGAGGTGTGTCGGATCAACCAGCCAGGTGAGAGGTCTCAGTCTCCCCTCCTCCTCCCTCCCTTTCCTGTGTTTGGCATAGGAAGGTGTGGCTATGGACCTTAGAGGCAGGACAAGTGCTTATAGTAGCCTTGGCCAGGAGGGATGAGACGGCCATAGAGAGTCAGCTGGTTGTCTGACTAGTCCAAAGAGGGTAAGGGTACAGTTGCTGACCATGATGCTGTGGGGCTAGATGAGGGGTGTATGTGTCTCTTCAGACAAGACCTCCTAGCGCCGGGTCAGCCCCTGGGGAACCAGGCTGGAGATTACCATCACCCAGCATCTTAGCAAGATATATACTTGCAGAATGTCACCACTGGAGTTTCAGAAGACACTGCCCACCCTCCCCCAATTCTGTTGTTCCTAAACAAAATATTTTAGAATCTTATGCGATGTGTTTTCTTCATCCTTCAGATAGTGGCCTGTTGTCAGCTGCAAGTTTGGAGCTTAGGAGCAGGAGTCAAAGTTCAGTGACTCACAGAAAGGGTTTTGATGGGCCTTCTCCCAGGGAGGCTCCTAGTGACCAGCACTGCCTGCATCTCGAGGACCCCTCTCTGCCAGTCAGCTGAATGAAAGCTCTCTCCTGCTATTTTCTACTCTGTTTGGGAAATTGTGTGGAATTCAGGCTTCCTACATGAAGAAAGGAAATCCTGAAAAATTGGGATGACTTCCCCTTCTACAGATTCCTGTGCAAGTGTTAACACAAAAAGCCTGCAATATTATGTATATTGGTTTTAAGTTTATGAAAGACTTGTAATTCATGGGTTTGTTTTTTTTTTATAGCCTTGAAAACGCATTCTAGTGTCCAGTTACTTTGTAGTATTAAAGGGCTTTAAGTTATGAGCCTCGGAAAGGAGTATTTTAATTCTTTATTTTTTGTTGTTTTGTTCTTTGCTTTTAAGTTTTTGAGACAGGATCTGACCATGTAACTGTGGCTGACCTTGCAGTCATAGAGCAGCCTCCTGAGTGGTAGGATTAAAGATGTGTGGCACCATGCCTGGCTCTTTGTGCATGCGTGCGTGTATGTGTGTGTGTGAATATGTATAGGTTTCTTTCCCACTGACTTGGTATGTATGATAGATGTGTGGAGTCCATAGAGCTGGCTAGACAAAAAGGACCAGAATGTTTATTTTCTTGAACTTCTTCCAAATTAAAGCTACTTAGTTAATAGTTACCCTGGCTAGGCCTCTATGGGACATGAGAAATACTTGGTTATTTCTGTACACCACTTATCATAGCTAAAAAGAAATCTATCCTGGTTTAGTCTGGGGCTTCAGGCTTTCTCTATCAACCATTAATGCCCTGCTAGCTCTTTCCGACATCTGTGACTGGTCCAGCTCTACTTCGTCCGTGTGAAAGGCACTAACTGTACCTTTGTGTGTAGGTGAAGAGTTTCAACCCTACTGTCACTGTGTGTGAGGGTTTCTAGGTCCTGCTCCCAGAAGTCAGTGACATTTTAGCTTTTGATTTCAGATGAGCTCTTTCCCCAAGAAGGAAACAAACATATTTCCTTGTAGTCTTTATTATACATAGAGCACAATATATTGCAATTTTTTTTCAGACAGTAGTGTAGTGGACTGAAGATACAACATTCACCTTTCCAAGAATCATTTCTATATTAGAAAAAAATAGTTAAAGCTTTCGGTTATAGGCGGGGTAGTGGTGGTGCACACTTTAATCCTAGTACTTGGGAGGCAGAGGCAGGTGGCTTTCTCTGAGTTCAAGGCCAGCCTGGACTACAGAGTGAGTTCCAGGACAGCCAGGGCTGTTTCACAGAGAAACCCTGTCTTGAGAGAAAAAAAAAAAAGCTTTTGGTTATAGTGTATGATATCGTATTGATGTTCTTTGCAAGAAAACTAAACCAAACCAAACAAAAACTCTCAAAACCTTGGAGACTAAAGTTCTGAGTTGAAGCTGATAATTTTCCCTCTTGGAATTTCAAGTCTGATTCAAGAATGCAAAGTTTTGTGAAGACTAAAGATTCTGCCAGGCTTTCATAGTAGCCCTATGTTCTAGCCATCACTTTATCCCAGAGCTGACTTAATTTGTTCAGGTTCCTAGATTATTTTCAAGAAGTTAGGGTGGCATAGGCTTTCTTAGGCTTTAGGTGTAAAGGCCTAAAATGATATTTATTTAGAAAGAAAATTAAGACAAAAGAAACTAATTCTTGAGTTTACACAGATGACAACTTTCATGTCCCTTTATACAACCCTTCTGTCAAAGGTGTCTAAACACTTCAGCACTAGATCAGTGTCTAGCACAGAGCAGGACTATGTTTACTGATGTAACAACCAGATCCCTTTTCTCAGATAAGAAGCCAATAAACCAGGAAGAAATAGATATAATTACTTACAAGTGGTGAGATTTAGGCAGTTGTGAGAGCACAGCTTTTTATCTTTTACTGTTCTCTCCTTCTAAAAGGTTCCCAGGCTCTTTGCCTAAACAGGTCTAAGATGCAACTTTAATGCATACAAATTGGTATGGAACATTCTGGTGTTTCATCCTTGTGGGAAATCAGACTTCTGGGATTAGAGGGCTCTGTTGTTTATAAGTGGAAATTTGTTTTTGTTTTGTTTGGTTTGTTTTTTTGAGACAGGGTTTCTCTGTGGCTTTGGAGGCTGTCCTGGAACTAGCTCTTGTAGACCAGGCTGGTCTTGAACTCACAGAGATCCATCTGCCTCTGTCTCCTGAGTGCTGGAACTAAAGGCGTGCGCTACCACCACCCTGGCTGTTCCTTTCATCTTATTACTTGGACCATGTATTTTTTTAAACACTAGTAGACATCTTTGTGTGTGTGTGTGTGTGTGTGTGTGTGTGTGTGTGTGTGTGTGTGTGTGTGTGTGTTGTATGTGTATTACATGCTTGCAGTTACAGTTGGGTGTTTTCTGTAACTTCCTCTCTGTAACTGGATCTATGTTTCTTTTTGGCTAGGTTGGCATTCAATAAGGCCCGTTGATCCTCCTGTCTCCTTCCCTGTAGGTGCTGGGATTACAGGCACGCATGAGACCACACCTGGGTTTTTATGTGGGAATTGGGGTCTGAACTGCTGTTAATTGCTGAGCCATCTCTTCGGCCTCTAAAACGACTGACTTCTTTTGGTGTGTATGGCCAGGTATCACATTGAACACAGAATTAAAGAAAAATAAACTATTATGTGGGCATGTGTGCCATTTTGTGTGTGTGAAGGTCAGCGGACCACTTTGTGGAGTTTGCTCTTTCTACTTTTATATAGGCTCCTAGGGTCAAACTCATCAGGCTGGTGTAGCAAATGTCTTAACTACTGCACCATCTTGTTGACCCTAAACACAGATTTTCGAACAATGCAACTCACCAAATATCTTTATCTGGGTCAGGACCCATCTTACTATTTCAGGAAGAACTTTGGGCTATTGCTATACTACAGTGCCTGCCAAAAACAGTATTCACTTAAAAGGTGAGCCCAAGCACATGGATTTTGGTTGCTCCAAGAGATACCACTGTTGGTGCAGTTAGATGAGATATTACTAGTTACAGAACAAAGTCATAAATTAAGTCATTTACCAGACATATCAGTGGGGATCACAGATAGGAAGGCTAAAGCAAAACTGGGAAAACACTTGTCTGCAGTAGTTTAGGTGTTAACTAATGAATGATACTATTAGCTTTTGGATTGGTGAAAACCAGTGGTGGTCTAAGAACATTTTTTGTAATGTTTTTATTTAAATTAGAAACATGAATACTTCACATGTCAATCCCAGCTCCCTCTCCCACCCCTCCTCCCTTGTTCCTCCTCCAGCCCCCCAACCCCCTACCCAATCCCCACATCATTCCTCTGGGAGGGTGAGGCCCTCCTTGGGGGGATCTCTAAAGTCTGTCATTTCATCCAGGGCAGGACCTAGGCCCTTCTCCATGTGTCCAGGCTGAGAGAGCATCCCTCCATGTGGAATGGGCTCCTAAAGTTGTATGCCATGGTGAACACTAATCTACTACCCAAGGCCCCAGAGATTTCTGAGGCCTCCTCACTGACACTACATTCATGGAGTCTGGATCAGTCACCTGTTGGCCTCTTAGCCATCAGTCTGGGATTCAAGAGCTCCCCCTTGTCTAGTCAGCTGTCTTTGTGGGTTTCACCAGCACAGTCTTGACCCCTTTGCTCATCACTCCTCCATCTCTGTCCCTGGTTTCCAGGAGTTCAGATCAGTGTTTAGCTGTGGGTATCTGTCTCTGCTTCCATCAGTCACTGGATGAAGGTTCTAGGATGGCATATAAGGTAGTCATCAACCTTATCAGGGAGGGGCTATTAATGTAGTCTTTCCGCTATTGCTTAATTTGCCAGTTGGTGTTATCCTTGTAGATCTCTGGAAATCTCACTAGTGTCAGCTCTCTCCTTAAGCCTATGACTCAATCTTTTATGGTACCTCTCATCCTGCTCTCTTCTTTCTTACCTCGACTCAACCTTCCTGCTCCCCCATGTCTTCTTCTCCCCTCCTCTTATCCCCCTCTCTTTTTCCTGGCTCCCTCTCCCCTCCCCCATGTTCCAATCTGCTCAGGAGGTCTTGCCTCATTCCACTTCTCTGGGGGTATCATGAATCTCTCTTGGGAACCTCCCTGTTTCCCAGACTCACTGGCACTGGGATTGTACTGCCATCCATTTGCCTGCAAATTTCAAGATTCCATTGTTTTTTTTTTTTTTTTTTTTTTTTTCTTCCCTGAGTAGTACACTCTTCCACTGCTGGTGGGAGTGCCAACTGGTACAGCCACTATGGAAATCCGTATGGAGATTCCTCAGGAAAATAGGACTTAGTCTACCACAAGACCCAGCAATTCCACTCTTAGGCATATACCCAAAAGATGCCCATTCACACAACAAGGATGTCTGTTCCACTATGTTCATAGCAGCATTATATGTAATAGCTAGATCCTGGAAGCAACCTAGATGCCCCACAACTGAAGAGTGGATAGAGAAAATGTGGTAGTAAGAACATATTTTAAAAGCCAGACGATGGTGGCACACACCTTTAATCTCAGTGCTCAGGAGGCAGAGGCAGGCAGATCTCTGAGTTCGAGACCAGCCTTGTCTACAGGGTGAGTTCCAGGACACAGAGTGAGTTCCAAGGCTACACAGAGAAACTGTCTCGAAAAACATAATAATTAAAGACCTTTATAGTTACAAAACTTCGGATAGGGTGGACAGTGAATGAATTTCAAAAAGGATAAAAGTAATGCATGATAATTTGGTTCTGGTCTGCGGCATCCTAACTCCACAATTACAGTTAGGTAATTTGACCTTATAGAATCTTAACGCGTTCTTTTGGTTTTGTGTTTTGTGTCCGATCCGTTCCCCACTCCCGCGCCCGACAGGAAGTGTAGTTTACAACAGGAAAGGATGGTGTGAGCTTAGCTTCACCCGTACTAAGGAGGGCAGCTGAGAAACCCTGATAGTATTGCTTGCTCCTGGTAGAGACCTGTTTGCGCAGTTGAGTGGAGCTGCATCTGCTAGCTGCTGGCGCGGGGCACGAGCCTACGGGATTAAAGGATTGGCCACGGAACGCAGGAACGCTGTCACCGGGAAGTGGGCGGACACAGACCGGAGGCGGGACATTGTGGGCCAGGAAGGACCGCCCCTTCCGGTGTCCCAGTTACGTTCGCCGCTTGGGCTCCATGGCTGCTCTGGGCCGGCAGGTGAGGTCCGGGGCTCACAGCGGCCGTGGGCGGGACGTGGAGGAGGCACCGCCGCTGGTTCTTTGTGGCACATCCGGCCACTTTGTGGCAGCATTGCTCCCGGGTGGCGGGTGCACAGACAGCCTGGTCCTGAGATGAGCCCCGGCTTCTACCGCGTTGGCTAACGAGGCGACTGTGGGCAAGGGGGCCTGGACCAGCAGGAGGGAGAGGGGGGGGCTGGCCGAGCTAGAGGGCGGGCATCGGGTGCTTAACCCGTTATGTGCTGAGGTTGAGATTTTCAGCCAAATATTAATGACTGTCAGTCCTCCGTGAAGCTAAAACTATTGGTTGTGCCCGATTCCTGTATCTTCAGTAACTGCTGTTGTCTATATGCTAATTTCCTTCTTTGGAGACTTTTTAGGACCAGAGGTTTTGCAGATGGTTTATAAAAACTGAGCTTTTATGGACCAAAATACCCTGGCTCAATAATCCTGTGGCCATTATCCTGAGGGAGGGCTGATTCTGTTTTGGCTATTTTACAGGTGTGTGATTGGCACCGTCTAACAGCCCTCTCCTGGGCCTGTTTGTCTAGACGGACTCCTCATCTCAGAGAAAGGAGAAGGATGAGTCCTTCCTTGTTTTGCAAACTGACTACAGTATGCAGTGGAGAGAGCCTTCAAGAGTCATCCTGTGTTAGACCCAAAAAGTATGTGCTGGATCCAGAGTACAGTACACAGCTTGTTCCGTGTCTTCATGGGGAACAGAGGACTCGTGTGGAGCCCAAGTCCTCGGAGCTTGAAAAGGTCATCAGTTCCCTCCAGGACATGGGTTTTGATGAAGCCCATGTTAACAGTTTGCTCAGTATGCAGCCAACTGTCCATCCTCAACAGTTGCTGGACATAATTTCAGAGTTTCTACTCTTAGGGTTGCACCCAGAACCTGTATTCATGGCCATGAAGAAAAGTCCACAGTTACTGAAACTGTCCACAGTGCAAATGAAGAAGCGTTCCAGTTACCTGCGGAAGCTTGGTCTTGGAGAAGGTAGATGAAGCAGCAGACTTTAGTGTGAGAGGAGCCAGAGTTAGTGAAAAATTGGCCTGCTTAGCAGGGGTGTCCGGCCTTTGACATTGTGACATGACATGTCATCTGCAAATGTGTTAGGCTCCATTCCTAGCTATCCTAGGATGCATGTGGGCTGTGGGCTAAACACACCTTAATAAGGTGATGTGAGGTAGGAAAGTTTTCCAAGGATATGTGTGATGGACCCTCCGCAAAAGGCATTATAAGAGGAATAAATGGAGATTAGCCAGGAGGAGAGAACCAAGGCCAAAATAAGTCCCATGAGTTCTGTTCATTGAGGTCTTTAGCTCCAGAACAGTGGGGACATGACGTCTGTTTTTGGTGGGTTAGGGTTGCTCTATGTGGTAGTGATGTATGTGTATGCATACATGTTACATCTGCGAAAACATTCCGTACAAAAATTTAGACCTGGAAAGCAGAGTGGCTTTCTAACCGTTGCCGTTCTGGAGAAGGGAGACAGGATCTCCAGTGATCTCTACCCACTTGACCACACTTATTTTTATTATTGATTGTTCCTAGTAAGATTTTTTACCCATAAGTAGGGAGGTTTAGAGTCCTCTATGCTTGGTATCTCTATAGGCCGCCACCTCTAGAAGATAAACAAGATGACTGTATTTCTTTGACAGATTTTCTTTTACAGTGTCGCCTAAGTCTAAGCTCAGTCAGTGTTGCAGCACAGCCTGAGAGAGGAAAATAAAGCACGCTTGGCTGCGTGTGGTGGCACACACCTTTAATCCCAGCATTTGGGACGTGGAGGCAGGGGGATTTCTGCGAATTCCAGACCAGCCCCAGCTATACAGAGAAACGCTGTCTTGACAAAAAATAAAAAATCAAACAAATTCCTCTTCACATGGCAGTGAGACAGAGACAGTGACCAACTAGGCTGTTGGGAAAATATTTAACAGTCTAAGTGGTTTTTAAGGTTGCACCTATTAAATTTGCCAGTATTCATAAGAAAATTGGCCCAACTATCATAAACATACCATTTACTCCACCTTGTTTGGGACAGCCCTTGTTTATAACATTTGTCTGAATAGGGTTACTAACGTAACTCACAATAAACAACTCGGAGGCCAGATTAGGGTTGTAGGGATCTGAAAAGAATCATTCCCATGCTTCATAGAAGTTAGATGTCTGAAATTTGCAATCCTATGAAGGGAGGGGATCTCTCTCTCTGTCTCTCTCTCTCTGCCTCTCTCTCTCTGCCTCTCTCTCTCTCTCTCTCTCCCTCTCTCCCTCTCCCCCCCCCTCCTTGCTCTCTCCTCTCTCGGAGTGTGTGTGTGTGTGTGTATCTGTATCTATGAGTGTTCACTGGTTGCACATGTTCTGGGGCACCTGTGGATACCATAAGACAATTTCTAGAGTCAGTTGTCCGCTTCCACATGTGGGTCCTGGAGATTGAACTCAAATTATCAGACTTGGTGGCAGGTGCCTTTACCTTACCCACTGAGCCATCTGCCAGCCCCTAGATGTTAATCCTGAAGTTACATGCTTTCCTTTTCTTAATAATCTGCAGGCAAACTGAAGAGCTTGCTCCATGGTTGCCCTGAGGTTTTCACCATGCGTCAGCGGGACATTGAGAGTGTGGTGAAGGTCCTCAAAGAGAAATGCTTGTTCACAGTACAGCAAATCACTGAGCTTTTGCACAGATGCCCGGCTGTTTTTCAGGAGGACCCCAGTAAACTAGAATACAAATTCCAGGTGAGAATAAGCAATTGGGCTCATGATGGCAGGCAGGGTTTTCAGGTTTTTAAGTTAAGTAAGGTCAGCTGGGTGGACAAGGAGCCTCTGAGCAGGGCTAAAAGCATCTGTTCTAGAACAATGTAGCTCAGTTTTTCTCTTCTCCCCTCCAAAGCAAACCGTTGGTCTTTCTGCTTTACTTCCTTGACAGTGAGTGACTTGACCCCATTCCAGGTCCGTGTAGGTACTCTGAAATAACTGATTTTGAGAATGCTAAAACTTTACTACCCTTAGAATGTCTCTTTGTGTGGGGATTTGGAAAATGTGACAGTTGTTCTAACAGTTTAGTAGCAGATATGACAGATAAGGTCAGAGGTCAGAAGCACATGTGCATCTGGGCAGGGTGGTGCACTCAGGAGGCAGAGGCAGTTGGGGCTCTGAGGCCAGCCTGGTCTACGGAGTGAGTTCCAGGACAACCAGAACTATGTAGAGATCCTGTCTCAAAAAAAAAAAAAAAAAAAAAAAAAAACCAAGCAAGCAAAACGAAAACACTGTGCCAGCCTTGGGTTCAGATCCCCAGAACACATGTTGGGCGTGAGGAGGTAGAGATAGGAGAGTCCCTGGAGGACTGTGAATCAGCTAGCCTGGCCTTCGACCTTCATAGGCATTCTGTGACATACTCGAATAGTTGTGCATAAAAACTGTGTACTCACGCATTTTTAAAAAAATTTCTAGGTATCTTACAATTTCTTTGGGTCAGATTTTTCTACACTCATGATTTTTGTTCCCCTATGTAAAGAAAAGTTCTACACTCTTGTCTTCTGCTGCATTTTTCTCAGCATGAATTTGGAATACTTTGAAAACTGTCAGATTTCACACAAGTGTTGGTATTAGAGAGTGGCTATTCTACCATTACTAATGGGGTGATTCTTTTCTAATGTTTTTGGACTAATGTTTATTTTTAATTGGAATAATAGGTCTTAAGGTTCTCTACATAGATTCCTAAACATTTGTGTCTTCCAGTATGCATATTTTCGGATGGGAATTAAGCAACGGGACATAGTCAGGAGTGATTTCTTACAGTATTCAGTAACCAAGATCAAGCAGAGACACATGTACCTGGAACGCCTTGGACGGTACCAAACCCCTGATAAGAAGGGGCAGACACAGATCCCTAATCCTTTACTCAAGGACATTCTCAGAGTTTCTGAAGACGAGTTTTTGGCCAGGACAGCGTGCTCCTCTGCTGAGGAGTTTGAGGTTTTTAAAAAGCTCTTGGAACGAGAAGAGGAGGAATCCGAGAGCCATGTGTCGGAGGAGGAGGAGGAGGATGAGGAGGAGGAGGAGCTGTGATAGAGGACTGAGATGAAGAGGGCACAGAGCTGCTGGACATCGTTCTCATTCTCAAAGCTTTGGGGAGATCACCTGGATCTTCCCAAGCATTTTTCATACCGACACCGATCTTTTGATGAAAAAAAAGTTATGATCCACTGGAGATATAGGTGCATCAAACCAAATAGGGGATGCTGTATGGCCTATTGGGTTCTGTGGGAGGCCTACTGAATCCTAAATAAAGGACTGAGCTGTTAAAATCCAGGGGATGCAACCCATTCCAGTTTGGTGTCTTTTTCTCTGTTGAAATATGTTGGTGCTAATCCCAAAAATCATGTGGAGAAAGGGGTGCTTTCCGGCCCAAGGGCCACTTTGTGTTTCCTTGTAGTAGTAGAAAATCACAGGAATGTGACATGAGGTGTAGTATGTCATAGCACTTTATTTCATGAAAACAAGTAGCAGGTTTCCCACACAATAGTCATGTTTTTAATCCGACTTTTCACGGCCCTCTAATGTGTTGAGTGTACAGCAGAGTGAAAGGCGTTGGTTAGTAATGTATTCTTGACTTTCGTAGTCTTCAGACTGGCAAAGCATTTCTCACCTGTGAGTTGCTGACCCTTCCTGCTTGGGCAGGCTGGCCTTCATGTGGGTTCCTGGCTCGTAGCCACTTCGAGGCCTAGTATCTTTGACTCTTCAGCCTGTGCAGTCAGAATGAGCTGGTTCAAAACTGGCCCTGCAGGGGCGGGGAGTGGTTTGGATGGACATCCCTTCCGCCTTCTGTGTGATAGGTAAGGAAGAGCACAGGCCAGCTCTGACTTTGTTCTAGGAAACTTTCAGATGCCCTGGCATGGATACCGCCCTGGGGAGCATGGCGAGTGTCTCGGAGTGACATGATGTACCGGGACTGGTGTGAGGTGAGCTCTGAGGAGAGGCCTGGTTTGGTGGAGCTAAGGCTCAGAGGATTGAGGTCTCCTAGAAAGTTGTCTGTGGCCCTTCCTCAGGAAACTGCACAGGGTTGGTGATACAGAAAGCTTTTTTTTTTCCTACTTGGTGATATTTAATAGTCATATGAAACCTCTATGTGGGCTTTGTGCTTCCTATATAGACAGAATCCAGTGCTTACATGGTGATGACCCTGTTCCTCAAGATATCTGACAGTCTTCGGAGGTGGGGTTTTTTTTTGTGTGTGTGAGTCATGGCCCTGTGATATTGTGGGTAGAAGCCAGGGATACTGCAAAATACCCTATGTTGCACTGCAGGGTCAAAGCTGAGAAACTGCCCCAAGACCTGGCCCAGTAATGTGACCATAACAAATTTGGATTGTAATGGACTTGAGGAATTTATTTCTGTCTAAGGTAGAGATCTTGCTGAATCTGAGGTGTATTTTGTGAGGAATCAGCACCAAGGGAGGCTTGGGCTTCACTGGGAGCCTGATTGCCAAGAGGAGGGCATTCACAAAGAAAAGCAGTCATCCCACAACCCCCATTCAATCAGAGCTCCTGCTGTGGCAGGTGTGTGAGACAGGCCTACTCCTGGCAAGGGTGTCTGTTGGACTCTCCACACACAGCAAGACAACAGCAAGCCATCCTGTCTACCACTAATAGCCCATGGGCAGTGGAGGAGGGGAATGCTTCCTTTCAGGTCTTGGCCATGGACAAAACTATCTGAGAACAGTGGTGTTCATTCTTTACTGCTTTCTCTCCCACTTTGTGGTATCAGACTTGCCCTGCATGTAGGATGTTTGGCCTCAGACTCCATCAGGGCTCAATAGAACCCTAACCCTGAGCTTAATTAGGTGTCTGCTCATCCCGTATTTTGACTAGCAAATGACGAGCCCAACAACTCATGATTCCTTCTTCATTTTGACACAAAAAAAATCTTCACACCTTGTCAGTTTTCTAATTCCACTGACATTTCCCTAGTGGACAGTGACTGTTCTGAAGGACATAAATCTGCTTAAGAAAGGTCTGAGAGAGCAGAGGCGTCATGTTCAGGGTGCTGCACACTTCCTCAGTGCTAACAAGTCTTCTCCACCCTGACACATTGCAATGATTAACTGCGACAGCTCCACACTCAGCACAGTGGGCGGGTCTTGTTTGAAACAGACTCCAACTGGAAATGGGAATGTGGCAGCTTGTGCCTGGGAATGAGGCTCCTGAGGTCATTAGCATGGTGCAAAGGTTTCATCTGCCTTTCCAGTGATGTCACTTGGTCTTGCCATCCACTGCTAATGCTGTAGCTTCTGTGGAGACATGGTGGCAAGTCTCAGTGTCGCATGGAAGTGACATATATGTTTGTGGATCTGGTCTCCGAGCCCTGTCTTTGGCTCTCCAGATCTCTGGAGATAAGTCAGTGTGTATCTAAGGTACAGTAGTGAGTTTTTGACATGACTGTTCCACCTTCCTGAAAAAATAGAAATTGCATTATATAGGCTCAGAAAGTTTTAGTGAAAATAAAATGTTAGTCTTCCAAGTATGTTTTTGTGAATGGAGGGCAGGAGGCCTCTGGTCAGGATGTGGTTCTTGGTGCTGTGTTTCCAGTCAGGTCAGTGCCACTCTTGAGGGATCAAGGTGTGGTTGACTTTCCTGATTCTGACCTCATTGCCAGAAGACGATTGCTTAGAGCCTTGTTGAGAGCGGAATGGACAGAGGATGCTGTGTAGTGTGTTTGTCTTGGTAGACCACACCATCTACTTGAGGTACAGATTACAAGAAGCCTTGGACACTTCTGGAGCCTGCCTGGCCTGCGCTGCTAAGCATTGCCTTCAGATTTGAGCAGAGTAGCTCTTCTGCTTTGTGGTGAATGCATCTCTTAGCTTTCCGAGCAAGGATCTTGACTGCTTTTCTTCTACGAAGGGTTAGCGGTCTTCATGCCTTGATGGTGAGTTGTCATTCAGGAGGTGGCTTTCTCTATAGAAGACGGAGGTCTAGATCATCTCAAACCAGGTACCTGCCAACTCTGGCCTACTGCCTGATTTTGTGGATGAAGTTCTATTGGAATACAACCATGCCATCTACATCTGTGACCATGTTGGCAGTATAGTAGCAAAGTTTGGTGGTTGCCAGAAGGGTCATTCTATCTGAAAGTCCAAAACACTGTCTGAGCGTTTGTCTGCCCTGCCAACCCAGGAATGGTAGAGCACGTGTCTAAACTCTCATAGCAGTGATTGGCATTTCTTCTTTAGGTCAGCATAAACGAGAGGAGCAGGGTAGAGTGCATTTGTTCCCACATGGCCCTGCTTGCATCTTTTGTGAAAGCTGGGTCTTTTCTTCTCCGTGTTCTGAGGGCTCAAGGGACACTGCTCTGGCACTGGAGTCTGGAAGTGGGTTCTAAGGACCGAGAAGCACCACTGACTGGGAGCCTGCTCACCCAGGTAACTGGCACACTCATTACTCACAGAGGTACTGGCTACAGTTGCAGAAAACAGCCTGGCCTAAGGTGGCAGGTGCTTCCCTTGCAGGAGTGTGGGTCTGGCTGTCTCTCTCCTAGACACCTGAGGACACAGGTCTGAGGGGAGACCCACCACAGTCAGGAACTTGTGTCATGTTAAAGTTTTGGACCTCATCTTCCTTTGAGAATTCTTGAGGTGGGCAGTGTTACCAGAACATGCACTGTCCCCCAGGGGACCCGTATTCATTCTCGCATCACCAGAATCCCAGCTGGCTGTGATGCAGAGGGATCCAAGTGAGAACACAGTCTCCTCTGTGGACACCTGGGCTCAGCTGTGGTTTTCGATTTGAGTCAGCAGGCTGCTGGGCCTCTGCTGCCTTTCTTCTGGTGACGGCACTGGGTCTTTTCCCAGGGAAGCCTTGAATGTAAGTTTTGGTGAGTGTGTGTGCGCGCGTGTTTCCTGTCTGTTTTTCCTGTTGCTCAGAGAATAAGTGTCCTATAAGCCAGTATGAAGTACGTAGCTATGGTGGGGGTACTCATTTTTAATATTTCAAGTGTCTTATACATATTTTAAAACCAAATAATTGTGGATTCTTGATCTCTGGGGTTGAACTGCTCACAAGTGTTGGAGGGTTTTTTGCGTGCGCATCCTTGGAGGCTGAGGTGAGAAGGCCGTGCGGTTGAGTGGACAGGATTTGGGTGTTGTCAGCTGCTCTTGGTGCAGGGTTTCAGAGGCCCTGCTGCCGGGCCCGTCTCTCAGCCTGCCCCACCTGTCTGTGCCGATGTCCTACCTGTTGCCACGACCACATTTTCTTAGGAAGAGCTTCGCCTGGAGCTCCTTTATTGTTCTTGAGTGTCATTTCTTCTCCATGTCCTCTACTGTAGAAGAGAAAGGTGACTCATCCTGAAGTGCCTGGCTCTCTTCCACTACCGGGAGGGTGAATTGTTCTGGCTCTCCCAAGCGAGAGGAGTAAATTGTCTCGGGCCAGCCAGTCATTCCCAATTGATGTTACATCAATAAGAAGTCACTGTGGGGCTGAGTCCAGGGTATACAGGGTTTCTGCAGAGTAACCCAGTATTTTCCAGACTGTTGTGGGGAAAAAATCCAATGCCCTCTAACATCTCACAGTTTATGCACGGGGAGGTGGGTGGAGCATGCTGGATCAAACAGGCAGTGTCTTTCATTTCAGAGTTATTAGTGCTTAGAATTCCAGGATCCACTATAACTCTCCCAGTGAGAGGCTGTACACAAGGTCACCTGGATGTTACATGACAAGGCTCCCACCCTATTCTACCGGTAGAATGTCATTCATAGGGTCTGGGGTTCTTGCTTAGGTCCTTCCCAGCACCCCCAGGGTGTTTGGCATCCTTGATTCTTCTACCACCCAGGTCCACTGCCCTGTAGGGGCCAGGTGATTCTTGTGTCTCACTCTAACTGGTCTGCAGAGAGAGAGAGAGAGAGAGGGGGGGGGGAGAGGGAGGGAGGAAGGGATGGATGGGGGGGAGAGAGAAGGAGGGAGGGAGGGAGGAAGGGAGGGGAGAGGGGGGAGGGAGAGAGAGAGGGAGAGGGAGAGGGAGGGAGGGAGGGAGGGAGAGGGAGGGGGGAGGGAGGGAGGGAGAGAGACACACACACACACACACACACAGAGAGAGAGAGAGAGAGAGAGAGAGAGAGAGAGAGAGAGAGAGAGAGAGAGAGAGAGATTTGCCCTTCTCCCATAAAGTCTCATTTCCATCTGCAAGCAGATTTATATGCCAGGCCAGACCAGGTTGTGTCTACTGAGAGGCTATAGTCAGGGGATTTCGGAACTTTCCTGGCTGGGTCTGTAACAGCACAGTGCTGAGTTTGTGCGGTCGGTGTCTGATGAAG